TAGCCGAAGGATCAAGGTGCTTTATACCTAGTACAGTCGCTGAAGAGAAACTAATTCAAAATTCAATTCCCATCACGGGGGTCGAACCAGCACCCCCAAGCCGATGGCAATGTACTAGAAAGACTGGAGTGAAAATGGAGGTAGTCCTAGTAAAGTGATATCAACCTTTACGTCATTCGTTGTTGCGAGCACGCCTGCGCCTTACTTACGTAAGAGAGGGAGTGTCGCGATTAGTCGTCTCATCGTTGGCAGTAATCGATTTGTGCAAACTCCGGTGCGAGGGGGGCTCCGACATTGTTGAGACAGAGAGGGCAATTCTATCAAGTTAGGGGAGTACTTCGCTTGAGCCAAGTTGCCATATACAGGAGACGCGCCAAAATCGGGTCCCGGGCGGGGTCTCTGGTGAAGTTTTGCACAAGATCATGCCCGCATGCTTCCCAGACAACGATGCAGAGGCTGCTAGCCAGTCCCAAAATTTGGCTCCATCTCTATATTTGACGCTGAAGTGCTCACTGCGGCGTGCTCCTCGGTCTTTTCTTCTGTCCTGTTGAACACTCTGTCGTTTCTGTCGTACGCCTGCGTGCCATGCGCGAACTGCCTTTTCCAGTTCACCGCCTGATCGTCGAACCCTCTCGAGAATGACGACCAAAGCCTTTAAATCGGTCGAGGCATGCCGACAGGAGCACCCATCTTCTCGTCCTGCCACTGGCCTGAGCGCTCGTTGTTGTTCCAGTACTGGTCGTCGTCCTCGAGAGCCTTGGCCGGCTTGACGCTCGAATCGAGGCGGCCGGCGGTCCAGGCGCGCATCGGCTTGCCGTACTTGTACATGACGGGCAAGAGCATGGATATTCCTGCCAGGGCAGCGCTGTAAATGCCAAAGTTTTTGAAGAAGCCGAGCTGCTCGATCCAGGTGGTCACGTTGAAGGACATGATGAATCCGATGATGAGGCGGGCCGAGGAGACGTTCACAAGCACAGGGCTGGAGAAGGCATTAGCAACGGAAAACTAGAAGCAGGGCAGTGTTTCGTCACTGGGGATTGAAGAATACGTACCCGGCATATCTGGGATAACTCTCAACCAAGTAGACGGCGAAGATGGTGTTGGCCGTCAACAGGCCGAAGCCGACGAGGAAGATAGATATCAGAACAACAATGGATGGGAGTTCGCGAATGTGCTCTCCAGCGTAACCGAACAGGAGCGGGCCGACGATGGAAGCCAAGAGTGGAAATATGAGACTGACGAGATGGGCCTCGGGCTCGCGTTGGCCATTGTTGCGCTTGGCAATCCAGTTGGAGATCCAGTCTGCAACATAACCGCCAAAAAACCAGATAAAGGGACTGGCGATGACGATGGGGATGACGATGAAGCCTAGGGTTTCAAACTTCCAGCCGGCAGCAATGAGAAGCGAAGAGGCGACTTGGCTAAGAGCGCCCTGCAGGGACACAAGGATGGAGTTGATGATGATGACCCAGATGATGTTGGGGAATAACGTCGTCTTGAACATGTCGATGGTGGATTGCTTCGCCTCCTTCCACTCGTAGCCGTAGTTCATGATGCCGAACTCGTCCCAGTTGGAGCGAGGGCGGTAGGTCACTTCGTCAATACGGGGGCGATGTTCACCAGGACGGAGAGGGTAAACCTCCTTGCCGGCTATTCGCATCATTAGCATGGACCGCGTCGTTATTGTGATCAGATATCTGCTAAACATACCAAGCTCATCATCGCTGCGTAGCCAGCGAGTTTCGGGAACCAAGAGAATGAGGCCGATCCAGGCGAGCACACCAACACCGGAGGTGATCCAGTAGATGAAGCGCCAAGTAAGACGGGAAACAATGATGGGGCTATTTCGACGAGTCAGTTCGATCGTTGGGAGGGGGGTCCATGGTCCAGAGAGACAGAGATCCATAGCACGCACCTCGCGATACCCAAGCTCACAACAAGGAGACCCTGGGAGGCGCCAACGGATGAAATGGCCTTGTTGCGCTGATGAATGAACATCATGTCCTGGATAATCAAAGGAATCAAAGCCTCGACAGCCCCTGCGCCAAAACCTTGGAAGCATCGAGCAGCCAGATGGCTTCCAAGGCCCTGGGAGAAGCCAGCCCAGAGACCCCCAGTCCATGCAAGGAACCCGGAAAGCAAAAGGACAGGGCGGCGGCCGATGGCGACCGAAAGCGGCACCAGCAGGTAAGAACTCAGGCCGTTGACAAGCAGCGGAACAGAAGCCAGCAGTGCTACCTGATACAGGGGCGGTCCGCCGAGGCCGGCAAGGATCTTGATGGGGTCCAAATTGATTTCGCCGGGCTTGTTCAATGCCCCTATGTCGATTTGACTCAGAATGTGAGGGTTGATACCGGAGTACTCCAGCACAAAGACGGGCACCAAGGCGCCCACAATGAACTCGGCGGAGAGGGCCAGTGACCCAACTTTGGACGCGGTTAGCATCTGTCAACGATGCAGATGCACAGTATGGCCATGACTTACAGAAACAAAGTGCTCCAATGGCAGCCCATTTCCTCCAGGTTGGCAAGTTCAATGGATCTACACCGCGACGCAAGTTAGTATCATCCTTTCCGTCGATCTCCCAATGACCATTCGTGTAGCCGAGGACTGACCCTTTGGATCTGGTGTAGGCATCGGCACAAATCGCATGTTGTTGCCATCGAATAACTTTGATGATCCCACCACCAGTTCTTCTGGGGCTTCGACCCTTGGCGCGTTGGCGAGGTTGTCCGTAGACTCGGTCCAGCCGCTCTTTGACGCCATCTTGAATTCCTGTTGGAGGATGTTGTCCAAGAGGTCAAGATTTCTCGTCGCCGCCTTACGTTTCGTCCGGTCGTTCTCAAGATATGAGGGATGATGTATCGTGACATGTACCGGCGGATTCCGGTCGTTGAGAATCCTTTGACAGCGGAGTCACTTTTGTATTCCTCCCAGCAGAACACAGTCGTATATCCAGGAAAGGAAAACAGGTATTCGACGCAATGGGTAGCGGTGGGCTGTATGGTGTTATAGTGCTGCATGTTGCCGTGCGTGACAGGTTGGCACGAGGGGCGAGCGCTCTGTCATGGGCCGGCCGCGGTCAGACGAGTAGTCTAATCTGAGACGAAGGCCGATGTGTGCATCCGCGCAACTGTTTGAGCGCACGGAACGTTGTATGGGGGGCAAAGAGGGACTGTTATGAAGCATTGCCATATTGGTCAACTCATGCGGATGTTTGGGAACCGAATGATTTAGGCAGGACCCGCGGCTTGGAATCAACTTGATCCCGGCTTCGCATCTGTGTTCAAAAGCCTTCCTATTCGGGGTGTTCATCAAGCTCCATACAATGTCTTCAGCTAGATCCATTCGAACAGTTATGTAAACGTGGGGATATATACAAACAATGTGTTGCAGTTTGAGTTGATCAGCTCGGCGCCGATCCGAACAACCAAACCTTCCGACGAAGCCGTGAGGTTTGGACTCTCAGGATCAGTATTTGGAGAGATCTAATTTAACTTAATATCTTGATGGGGCCGCTCCTCTTCCCGGCGGCTCGACCAGAAAGAGAGCTGCGCTTCATCACTCGACACAAGCTCTAGGGTCATGACATCCAAAACAAACGACAGGCTATCATACTTCAGGAACACCCTTCTCGAGGCGTCGCTGGATTAGGTCGGGCCTTGCGAGAGTCGAGATGGGATGGTCGCAGAGTGACGGTACCGTTAGTCCAGTACCGCCACAATCCCAACCTCGTAAAACTCTCAGATACGGCATAGGAGTTTGAGTTGTTGCGATGATTGGGCGTGTTGGCCTCGGAATCTGTTGGAGCTGAAACACCATTATGTTCTATGCAAGGTGAACCCTGGCCTCCCCGCCCTGAGCCTCAACCATTTACTTCGGTAGAACCGGCAACTTACTGTAATTCGGCCAACGACAGAACATCGCTCGGCTACTTCCCCAGAGAGTGGGGGTTGGTTTAAACAAGCCGGCAACCGTACTCCGCGGCGGGTATGAGAATCATATAACAGTCTCATGATATAATCATCGGCTTTAGTTGAGAATCAAACCTGATGTGACGTCTTCCAAACATGCTTCGACAGATACAAATGATTAGTCAAAGAGGGACGTGGGTTGCCATTTTCGGCCGCCATTCTCGGTCCGCTTTCACAAGTTACCGTTCATGGGACGGACCTCGGGCCAGTCTTCCAGCTGAAAAGCCCCAAGGACTGGAGGCTTCAGCCTGCACCCAGAGCCCCCATGCTGTTTTTGTTTTTGTCTTCGTTTGTCCACGTTAGTGGTTCTTCGGCAATAAGGTAATATCAAATAAATTCGTCCATTCTTCCTTGATCTCGTTCGTTGCGCTCGCTAGCCGACGCTACATTACGTTATCTGCTCGTCTGTATCAGGAAATGCTGCCATTCGTCTATCTCTCCATCCGTAATCGCAAGTAAATGCGTGCCGGGGAGTTTTGAATGCTCTTCAACTTGTAGTAGACTCAAGGAAACCTCTGTACCAAAATACTGCTTGTGCAGGCCCAAGCCCCCAATGAGTGGTATCCGTGCCTGGCATATGCCAACCCTTGCAAACTCCTTATAAAAAAAACACCATCACCATAGGTATCTGTGCGCACAACGTGTAAAACCAAAGAAAAGGTGGTTGCAAGTGATGCCGTGATAGTCGAAAAGCAAACACCGCCGATGCGAGCTGGTGGGAACAAAACTAGCCCTCGCTTGCAGGAGAGCCGGGGAGTGGCGCCAGGATCTCGTCCTGCGTCTCATTGTCCTCGGGCCATACTGGCAATGCGAGTGACGCATACTGATCCCCGGTTTTCTCCTCCAGCTCTTTACGCAAAATCTCGATCGCTATCAGCCAGCGTCGTTGTAGCCTCTGTTTGCGGTCATTAATAATCTTGACCAGGGTATCTTCTTCATGTGCAAAATCCGTTGCCAGATTCTCTATATCCTGTTCCTTCTTGTTGAATAGTTTCTCGAGCTCTTGCTCCTGTCGATCCAAAAGTTCCTCCATGCGCTTGGCCTGACGGTCTCGCAAAACGTTGATTTTGGCCTGGTGCAAGCGTTCCATGCCATCTCGTACATTGTACTGTTGCCCCAGTAGGCGAAGGTCTCTCTCGGTAACGGTTCTGGGCGGCAGATTGGCGTTCGAAGAGCGACCGAGCCCATCGCAGTATGCCTCCATGTGCTTCAGGCGAATCTTGACGCTCTTCTCGCTTTGGTCAAGGGTTGACCTCAGATCCATCTCGGCTTCGATCTGGCGTTCCTCTAGATGAGTGGCAGTCTTCGCATGGCGCTCTTTCATCTTGTCAATTTGGTCCGAGTACCTGTCGGCCAATGCCTGTTTTTTCCCGGCTTGCCTTGTACACATGGCCCACTTCATCTTCCTCGTGTACACCCGAAATCGATCCAATTCTTCGCGCATCTCGCCCTGCAGCTTGGTGAATTGTGCGTCGGCTTGGGTGCGCTTTTCGGCTTCAATCCTTTGAGCAGCTTTGGCAGCAGCAGCAGCTTCTTGGGCAGCCTTTTCTGCCTCAAGTTCAGCATTCCTGGCTTCTTCTTCCATCCTCCTTCGCTCCAGTTCTTCGTCGCCGTTGCAAAAGTTTGGGCAACCCACAGACGGGTCCCATATAGCACCGCAGATGTAGCAAAACTGGGCCTTGCACCTACAGGTCATGTGAGTGCAGCCTTGACTCAACTCAACCAATGTGCGGCACTTGTAACACCTTCGCCAGCCCGATTTTTCGCCCATCTTCAGGACCGCTTCCAACTCCCAATCAGACGGGCAATCCTTGCCAACGGGGTGAGCGTTGCGTTTGCACATCACGCAGACTCGTGTCCGGCACTTGCGACACACAACGTCGAAAGGGTGCTTCGGATCGATCTTGTTGCGAGGGGGGATGAATTCGCCACACGCCGTGTTCGGACAGAATATCCTTGCTTCCCACGGCGTGCTGAATTGCAAAACCGACTTCAGAAAGGCATGCTGCTCCTCCCGACTGAGGATCTTCTGAACGATGGGCCCTGGAATCGGCTGCGTGCAGCATCGAGGCGGCATCTTGGATTCGTCCGTCGTTGACTGCTGAATCATGATGCTGAGACACTCGGCACAGTATGTATGGCCACAAGGCAAGCCGTGCAGAGAATTGGACTTGTTGAACTCATTGCGACAGCATATGCAATAGCTACAGTGTCTTCTGTTAGCAACCGAGCATATAGACGAAGTGCTATGCTCACATTGTAGATTCCAGCATAGCAGATGTCCTCTTGCGTCGTATCTTCCGGATACCCTCCTTGATACTGAAATAGCTCCTCCGTGAAGAGACGCTGAATAAGCTGTGCGTTGAGACGCCGTGGGTAATGGATGGGGACGCTTTTTGGATCTTGGGTTGGTCGATATTGGGGTCTATCTGAGACAGGTACTTGTCGTATTGGGAGAAACCGAGGCTCTTGGATCGTTTTCTGACAAGGGAATGCGGAGGGGTATCGGCGGTGACGGGAACTGCGTGTAGAGACGGGTGGGAGGTGAGGGTTGTGCTGGCGGAATTGCGCGAGGCGGTCGAGAAGGTGCGGACATGCTGTGTTGCAATGGTAGAAGTCTGCGATTCGGCGCTCGAGGTGTTACGCTTCTCGGGTGATAGTCTCGATATGGAAATACCCAGGGCATTCGCCTTTGCGATCAACTCGTCCTCGATAGCTGCTTCCGACACTTCTGGCGCAAGGTGGAGGACCTGGGTAAGATATTCCGCCTCATCGTCTTCGGTAGATGGCAGAACGGCGGTCCAAGGAGCCATGTCGGGGGTCGAGCACGTCTGGCCGGCAAGCGAGGCCATGGCGGACAGAGTGGGCAGAGAAGAAGGGAATGATGGTCAAGTCAGCGCAGCGTGAGCAGAGGCATCGTGGTTCGGCTCGGTGCGTCGAACAGCCTCTCCCAACCTCGCCAGTCAACCAATGTGGCAGGTAAAGGTCGTAGGATTAGTTGCCAACTGATGCGCAGAGGGGTTGAAACGGTAGGTGCGAGTATTGACTTGACATCGAACGGATGGAGCGAAGCCGGAGAAAGGATGAACCCACGAAGTAGGGCAACCACAAGGTTTGGCTAGCGGCTGGCAAGCAGCGTCAATGATAGGACGAGAGAAGAAGGAAGGTTCCTGGGTGGTGGTCAAGGGCAAGGAGGACCCAAGGACGGGAAGCGGAAGGAAGTGTAGTCGGTATGTCGTGGCACTCTGTAACGTGCGTAGAGGATTGCTTCTTGTTATTTTGGGCCTGGAAGTGATGGAAGTGAACTAGGAATGGGCCTAGGCCGCGAATTGAATGTGTCTTAGGCGATGGGGAGACAGTGCCAGGTTTTGAGAGGGAGAGAAGGGGGGGTGTGGGTGTTGGGCCTCGGGTACCCAGGTAGCCAGAAGGACGATCGACTCAAAGCGTGATTGACGGTAGGGCGAAAGCGCCGTTCTTTAGTGATTCTTGGAGACCCTTGAGAATGACGGGGGGGCGAACGGCCCAGAACGGAGCTGTGGAGAACGACGGGGATGAGGGGAGCATGCGCAGGCATGTGTAGTGTGTAATTAGTGGGAAGGCCGCCGCCTCGGATGATCAGGTTTGGTTATGTGTCGGTGAATTGACAACGCCCCGATCCGAACCGTCTTTTTTCTTCTTCTTCTTTTTCTTCCCCGGTCCAAGTTGGTTCCTTGGTGAGCAATCCGTATGTGGAAGACAACAAGAGACAATGGCGAAGGATAACGTCAAGCGGTCGAGGAGAGTAGGAGGGAGAGTGGTGGCGGGGAAGTGAGATAAGGGAGAGATGAACGGATGGTGTCAAGATCTTGGTCGGTTTTCCTTTTTCTTCCCTTAATTCTGCAAACCAAGGAAGAGTCGGGTGAGAGCGGGACTTGTTGGAGGAGGTGATTCGGTGCCTGTTTGTCTGTCGGCTGATGCGCGATGGGAAGAGATGAGGGGGGAACGGGCTTGGTGGAGAGCCCAAGGTGCAGCGCAAATGGATTTGTTGGACCGTGTGGAAGTATGGAGCGTGGCCCGGGGGGGGGGGGGGGGGTCAAGACGGCGGATGACGGGCAGTAGCCGAGAACAAAGCGCCTAGGTACTAGTCGTCGAACGGGGGACTGGGACCGGGACCGTGGGATTAATGTTCCATCTTCCCCCTCCATCTCTCTCACCATCTTTTTTTTCTTCTTTTCTTTTTTTCTCTCTCCAATATCGAATGATAGGTATATAAGCAGCAGGCAGCAAGCAGCAAGCCGTATACAGTTCTGTGCCCCCCCCTGCTGCAGAAAAGTGGGAAGGAGGAGTGCCGAGGAAGGGCGACGGGCGGTAAGCGTAAGGGTACGAATACCTAACACCTAATCATGATCCCATCAGAGCCGCCGCCAGTAGGAAATGACAAAGACATCTGAGGCCATGCATAACCATGCAATGAGAGCCACTGGCTTGAGGAAAATTGGGGAAGCCAGTGATACTCGGCGGCAAGCGCCAAGTAGGGTGTGATTGGGGGGGGGGGGGGGGGGGTTCCGCCGTCTGTTGGGCGTCGTCACATCCATCAGCATCAGAGGGAGGCATGGCCTGATTTCTAATCTACCTACTCCGTACTACGGATAACTATGTTGGCATCTTCTACTAGTAAACTACATCGCACTTGGATAACATAGGCAGCACCTACCACTTGTACTATGTAGTAAAGGTGTCTACCTAGACTGCCAACTAGGTAGTGTACTTGTAGGTAGTTGGTGAGACAGGGAAACCGCATCTCGCGAAGAACCACAGGTGGATACGATAGGTATGTATCTAGCCCCGCACCTACCTGCTATTTACAGGACATACGGATACAGGTACGGATACAAACCCTCCCTATGCCAACCCTGCAGTGCCTTTCCAGCGTGCAACTGCGGATCGTGTGTGTCTGTGCCTGCCTAATCCCAGTCTCGATCATCAACCCCTCCCCACCATCCACTCGAGGTGTCAGCAGCGTATTCCTTGCCTCGCTGAGTTGACAACCACCATCAACAAAGAGAAATGCGCCTGCATCTGCACCTGTTGCACGACATGCCGCAATCGAAAGCGAACACTTGCATTTCATGCCGCATCTGCTTGATCATCACTACTTGTTTACCCACTATCTCATGGGCTAGGTCGTCGAGCACTGAGAGTCTTTCTTCGCCTCGCAGGCCAAGTAATGGACCGCGGTCAACAACCAGTTTCACTCCGACATGAACCTGTCTAGACAATTCCGGACGGGAGTCTGCTGGTAATTCCGTGAATTCCACTTCGTCGCCTTCCAAGCCCGTTCGTGTCCTTTGCCTCGGCCGCACGCCGTTGACCAACTGTAAGCAAACACTACCTACATCCCTGGTAAGGTCTTGAACTGAATCAACCAGTACAACCGGCGGCGATCCTCGAAGAGCATCGTTACCATATAGATACCGGCTATTGCCTCTAGGATGCCGTCGCAGCTTTGCCCGGACCCCAAGGTCAATGCTGCGTCAGCATTCGCATTGTCGACTCTAGTTGCCAAGGCGCATGTCAGACGGATACATCAACATCAGCCTAATTTTCATCCCCAGCGGCTTTGCGCGACCTGCATGTAGCTCGAATGACCGGCATATGCACCTGTAAAACGGTCCGTCACTGTTCAACTAACATCCTCTTGGCTACATCCTCACATTGCACCGGATGTCCGCTTGCGCAACTAGTATCAATAGTGGCCTGTTCTACTATGGCATGTATACCCTGGTTTTTTTTTTCTTTATAATAATAACAGACATGATGCAGACAGACAAGGTCAGATTCCTTTTATTGTCCCCACTCGACCACCGGCGACTGGTCGTCTCGCGGCATAGTCATTACCCTTAACCGGTCGGTATTGGGTCCGGGCAACGACATCCAACATCTAAAGTCCAAAAGGTACTGGAAACTTTGGACGTCGTCAACTCGCCACTTCAACTTTGGGCACGTCCTTGAGAGTGAGACTTATCAGGGCAAAAATAATAAGTCGGCTAATGACTTAAGCTTCCTTGGCTTCTTCTTTTGGGCAGGGATCAGTCACTTTAGAATTGGCCCATCTCGCCCCGGAGCACCAGCTCCTTGAACTCCTGCAGAGTATGCAGATTCTGAATTCTCGGTTGCGCTGCCACAGCAACACGTAGTAGCAGTCCTCGCTCGTCTCCGCGAACCTACTCCAGATTCCACGTCCGGACAGAATGTCACTAGTGGAGCACGCCCACGCCCTGTCCGGACCCACAATGGCCGGCTGGCCTCCGGAATTGTCTCCGGCGCGCCCGCTCCTGGGGTGCACAATTTGACATGGACTCGGCAACCCTGCAGTTTCAAGCCCGTGCTCGCGACTATTTGCAGTATCTATACCGGTAGCCATCTGCGACCTTATCAATATCACCTCGCAGCCTTGCTACGTGCTGTCTGCTTTGTCCTCGTCGGGTATCGTGTATTTCCATCCTGATCCCCCTGGCCGCCATGAACTCCCGCCCCACCGCCCCCCCGACCAGCTCTTGTGCTGACTGGGTGCCCGCTTCCATATCAACTGATGTCAACCACCGGAAATGATCATCTGTGCCTCTCATTCCTGGAGGTTGCTGCTAGGAAGTAATTTGGTCACGACTCTCTAAGCGGCGAAGCGAGCACAAGAATGTCCCTCGCCGTTGAAGAGAGCATCTTGCAGAAACGCAAATTCCTCATGCGCGACATTGCTGACACTAGTCCCAACCCAGTCTGCTCGTCTTCGCCTTCGCTTTGTTGCTCGAGCCGCCTCAACAGGGCGCGAGAAGTTGGTGGCAGAAACGTTGGCGCGAGGCCCGCATCATCACAACCCCTGCGGGCATCAAGAAACCAAGCCCGACCGGTATTGTTCCGCTTTCTTATCGCCCATATGGCAAGCACGCAAAGCTGTCCATCAAGTCGAGGCTCATCGTTATGTGTATATTCAAAGTCCTTCGTCGCCACCGACTGATGCCCCTAGCGGGTTCGACCACCCGAGCCTATGTGTTCCAGTTACTAGAGCGAGACTACGGATGGCGATCCACCGAGCGCACCATCCATTTAGCAGTTACAGCGGCCTACCACTGCTTCATGGCTTGCGACAAGCATCTCACAAGCCAACCCAGTCAGCAAGCCGGCATGATGTACCGACGGTGAGCCCGAGCCAGTGGGGCATGTCATCCGCGACGCCAGGGCATGGCTAGGCCTGACCAGGTATTCTTCTCGTATGAGCTTCTCGAAGGAGAAGTTGTCGATTTACAAGCCCTCAGTCCAAGCTCTGACCCTCTCATGTCGTCTCTTTCTTCATTTCCCCATCCTCTCCCACCGTACTGCTTAGTGGCTTGCGCTTGTTGATCTGTCGACCCATCAGCGGCGAACTAACCTTCTCCTGGCTGCCAGACTTTCTAGCTTGGCCTTGGTTCGCTCGGCTTGCAAAGAGTCATGATATTCCGCCTTCGGCGACGCACGGTCGAGGCGATTGGCCAACCCTGTCATCCGAAGCGTGGACGGGGATGGGGGCAAACCCCAAGAGGCGGATGGGTTTTGTTTGTTCCTCTGTTGCGTTTTTTTCAATCTCGTCCGCGTACCCCGTATTTTAGATCATAACAACAATCTCTAAAGTTGACTGTGGTGTGCTCGGCCCCTGCCGCTTCCGACCTAGTCTCATTCCTATCCGTCCGACAGTTGAAAAAAAGCATCGTTTGCTCGTTTTAGTTTGAGCGACCTCCTCGCCCCTTTCTCGCCCCCCCCACCATTCAGGGCTTCGACTCATTAACCCGTCCTGATGGATTAGGAAAGGTGAGGGAATGGGGGCCCGCCACCGGACGCCGGATTTGGCGTCACTGACGGGGGGCTGCGGCCGTCATTCTCTCCCAAACGGTGAGCCGGCAGGCATTCCTGGCCTAGCTCTGGGAAACATTCCCAAAGGGTTCAGATAGTACTGGAGTCGGGGGCCAAGAAAGCCCCGACGTGACAGATCCGCCATGCCGTTTACTTCCCTCTGTTTTGTTTACATTCGTCAGACACGCAGCGTGTCTTGGAAGAAGCCGGTCCCCGGAAGAAGGTACGTCATCCATTCTTCATTTCAATTCATTATTTTCTTCCAAATGGAAACTGTGCCTCGTCTATTGATCTATTCGGCTGGGGTATAGATACTATTTTGGTGTACAGTGAGTGCTCCTTTGCCGTGGGCAAGCAAGCAAACAAGCAATCATCATAAAAAGAGATTGTCCGCACAGTGAGTTGAGAAGATGGAGCGAGAACTCGCCCTTCCCACATGGGATTCCGTACAATATACAGTGTGTGTGTGTGTGTGTGTGTGTGTGTGTGTGTGTGTGTGTGTGTGAGTGTACGCTGGTGCAAAATTACAGTAAACGATAGAAACGGGGTCGTGCGATGAGGGCATACTGCTCGTGGTCGCTTATTTCTTCTTGCACATATCGTACCGGCCCGTCTCCATCCAGAATGCCGTGACATCCGTTCAAAGGGCCTGGGTTTCGCCTCTGCAGTGAATCCTCATCCTTCAGAGATGGCCACCACCTCGTGCGAAAAGGGGGCACCGCCACACTTACGGCATAAACGCAAGAAAGAAGAGAACCGAGAGTATTTGCGATCCCCTTTTGCCTCTCTCTCTCTAGCCTCATCCCTTTTCTTCACCCGCCTTACTGGAACCATTTCTTGGTGGTCATCTTGGCGTTGGCGGCCGCGGCGGCCTTCTGGTTCGTTACGCGGCGGAACTTCTCACGATTCCGAGCGTCGAGCAGACCTGCTGGGCCGTCGTCCTGAAACCAGTGCTGACCCGTCCCGAGGCTCGGCTGAGCCGTCGCCGAGGGCGAACTCAGCTGCCGGCTGGGCCGGGTCAGGGGCCCACGCTCGTCAAACATCATCTTGACGCGCTGAACCTTGCGCAGCTTGACGAGGCCGTACCAGCAAACCAAGAGGGAGCAGATGGTCGAGGTGATGGTGACACCGGCGAAGCCCCAGTTAGTTTCTTCAATGAAGTTCTCGAGGTTCATTCCGTAGAGACCTGCGAGGAAGGTGCCCATGGCCAGGCCGAGAGTGCCGACGCTGAACTTGAGATCGAGAAGCATAAGGGCGTTGCGGTTGGCGTCGAGGATGGCGCGGATGCTGTGGCTTTTGTTAGCGAGAACGGTCTTTTTTTTTTCAAGTAGCAAACAAGCAAGATAGACGGAATGAGCTTACATTTCTTCGGTGTTGCGAATACCAGACACCAGATTCTGCGCCTCTTGAACGATTTCGTCGCACAACTTATTGTAAGATTCGAGGAGCAGCTCCACCTCGGTGTGGTCATCGACGCCGCGGTAGAGGTCGTGTGCTTTCTCGGTCAGGTACATGGCGGCGAGGTCGTCGTCGGCCTCGAGCAGCTCCTCGATGGCGTCGCGCACTAGCTTGGCCTTCTGCTCGAAGGTGCTCACCCGCTTGGACAGAATGAGCAGGACGCGCAGTTTGTGCCGGTCGATGTCGTGCTCGAGCTCGCTGAGAACGCGGATGACGGGGTCCCGCACGGACTCGAAGTCGGCCTCGAGCTCCGAGGTGACAGAGGTCAACACCGCCTCGAGAGCGCGGAACTCGTACGGCAGTCCGTTAACGCCGCCCTGCACGTGCTTCTGCTTGAGCTTTCCCTGCAGGTCATACATGAAGGCCGACTGCGGGTACGATGTCTTGGAGCCGTACACGTCGAAGAGCAGCACGCGGTCCTTCTTGATCAGGACCTTTAAGTGGAGCAGGTTGAGGAGGATCGCGCTCTGGCGGACGAAGATGTGAGGCAGGTTAGAGGAATCAATCTTTCGCAGGTCGCGGGGCAGCAGACCGTACTATAATCACCCAGTTGTCAGCATCTGTAGGAAGCGCCCTTTTGGGTTGGTGAAGTCGAACCTTTGCGATGAGCTCCGTCTTCTTGAACTCGCCATCGACCAAAATCACCTCGCCGTTCTCGTCCACCTCGGTACATCGCAGCCTGGGCTCCAGCGCGGCCTTCGCCGTCAGTATGCGGCGGCTGTTGAACATGGAGCCGGCCTCGCCGTCGTCGTGGAAGGGGAGGTCATTGGGCTTCAGCGCCTTCGATCCTCGACCTCGTATGCCCCATAGCCTCTCCTTCCACGTCCGGGGCGGCGCCGAGGAGTCGTCTCCGCAGGAGTCTCGTCTCGCACAGGTGGTGCTGAAGGATGCGACGGGCGAGGAGGGTAGATGGGCGAGTTTGTGTCTGCGGCTCGCTCGGGTGATGACGGAGTCGGAGCTGGAGCGGGAGCTAAGAGGCGAAGCTGGGAGTAGCCCGGAACTCCTGCAGTTGGTCGAGACCGGCCTCGTCGCCGTCGCCGTCCCTGTCCTAGAAAACCTTCTTGCAAGGCATTGGGTATTTTGAGCCGGCCGGGCTGGGCTGGGCCGAATGGCAGCAGTCGTCGCGGATTCGGCACACTGGGTCCGACTGAAAATCGAAGAGGCCTCAGTTTGCGATCGCAGAAACCGTAGCAGGCTCGTCGATGGAACCGGGCTTCGGATCGCTGGAGGCATTGTGACGGTCCGATACTACACTATCCCCTCTTCCAGAGACGTGTGAAGCTGGAGATGTCGTCCGGGGGTTGAGTTGAATATTGTAAACTCGGGTGACGACGCGAGCTCCTCTGTATCTGTATCTGCTGCGACTGGCACTTTTTTTCTCTCGATGTTTTACCGCGCAGCTGGTTCAAAGCTGGGTTCCATGTGCACGGTCCAGTCCTGTTTTTTGACATCATTCCACACTGTCTTTGCACGGTACAGCGGAACCCACTACTGAAATCTCGAGACCCTCTAATGGTTTGGATGACGATGAAATGTTTTCGTAGGCAACGTCGTTCGGGTCTCCTTTATTCCCTCACGAATTTTATCTCTCTTCTTTGTTTTACATACTCGGTTGTCCAACACGCGTTTTTCCCGGCCCATAAGAGGTGAAAGTCAAGGAGACATAAGGTTTTTTTTTTAATTTACTTACACCACTGGTACATCAGCTTTGGTCTTCTCTGTAACGAACCATCCTTACACCTCGCCTTCTAATCGGCTGGGCACTTTCGGCAGTACTACCAGATACTTTCCTGAAATGAAAAGGTCGATATAATCTCGCCTGGGGATACGGGAGCGAGCTAGGAGGCGTATCCTTTTCCAACGGATCATGCAGTTGACCCCTATCAAAGTCAGAGGCAAGCGTGGCAAAGCCCCTTCGTCCAAGGCACCGACCAAGCAGCCGGTGAAGAAACGTACATCACGACTTTCAAGTCGCTTGTCGGTCAAGCGTAAGTCGCTTCTGGAGCGGCAACTACCTCTCGAAATAATCGAGCGTATCTTTGTCCTCAGCGAGAACCTCAACTTCCCCCGTTGCAGTCCCCTCGTCGGCCGTCTTCTCTCTGGTAGATCTACGCTTGTCAACCTTCTCATAGCTGCATTTCACCCTACATGGGATTGTTGGTTTGGTGTCAACAGACTTGCGCTCAAGACGGTTTCGAAGCGCGATGCCACAGAAGACTCACGGAGAGTTTGGCGATATGAAGACTTCCCCGAGTGCTTCCCGGGAGATCCAGAGTTCCAGGTATGAGAAGATAACGCTGGATGATCCCAGATCACTAAATCGCTTGTAGTCTTCCGTGCTAGCATCCCCCTGGCTTAACATGGATATCATGATCGACGCCCGGCAGGTTTGGGCCTGGCGCTTCGCTCGCGACAGGTGGTACTCGCATTCCCACATCGGTCCAAAAGACGAGGAGACGGTCCATATTGGCTCCCTGGACTGCCTTCACGACAGAGTTGGCGGTTTTGGTCACTTTGAGTCGAGGGGCTGCTTCGAGTATGACTGGCTCGCGTACGGGCTTAACGGCCCAAAACCCGCACTCGACTTTTATGTTGATGTACACCCCAAGGCAACTATCCCAGACGGTCTCATTACGGGGCCATGGACACCGGAGCAGCAGAGGCTTCTCTTTTGGCTTCGGAGAGGCGGAGCAAAGATTCAGGCCGAACATCAGACCTGGGAGGCAAGTGAACTGATGCGTTGAAACTATCTTGGGAGTGGTTAGAGTGCTAATACATGGGCAGACGCTGCGGGTTGGCCTTCAGAACGCCGTCACTCACCGGAACCCAGGAAACATAGATGGACGTCTGGTGCACATGCTACTCCTGCTGGACGACTTCTTCTCCTCACAAGGGCTCGAGGATAACCTGTCTCTCTGGCCGCTGGATGTCTTGGAGGAGGAACATGCCAAAGTGGTCAGGCTGCTCGAGGCAAGAGGCCGCAGCAAGGCTGGGCCCCTACCCGAGCTCGTCCAACTCGAGAAGCTCATGTTCGACTACCACCGTCGCAAGGTCGATCTCCTCACGTCGAGACGAAGTCGGAACTAACATCTAATGTCATACCCGATGCTGTGTCGGTCCTGCACTATTCAGGAAGTTACTGTGAGCTAGTGAAGGAGGTACATACTCGAAGGGTGTGGCTTGCTTCTGCCAGTATCTCGACGTCGCCGACGCTCATCTAATACCTTTTACTGTAATGTGACGTCCAAGGGGCAGGCTGACGAAAGACGCGAGGATGATGATCATGTGTGAAGTCGTTCGAGACGACTATAATGAGAGCATGCTAAGGGCAAGAGCGTCGATTTCGAGGTACCATACACGCAGGTCTGATGAGCATAAATGCTAGTTTACCGAACTGACTTAATCAGAGCGTACGAGAGTCCCATTTTCTTCACACAAATTCGTCATCTTGAGGCACTACATCGGATCAAAAAGGTCCCTCGAGGCCCTAACGCTTTCCTTGCCATAACCATATCACCCGGGCCGTGAGGAGTCTTGAGAACTTGCAAACTTAGTTTCCTCAGAGGTGTATCGGGACATGAATAGGGACATCCATGACGGTACTTGATCATGGGGGGCGAAGGCGTCACCCACCTTGCTGAGTGTATGGATTCCACAGCCTGACGCCGTCGGCGAGCAGTCAGCTAATCATTCACACGATCCAGCCGTGTTGCCTCCGAATGGTGTAGTTGGTTCATCACGTTCGACTGTAATGGGTTTCCAAGATGATCGAAAGGTCCCTAGTTCGATTCTGGGTTCGGAGATGTTCTTTTTTTGTGTGGATGAAGGTGTTCTCGCGGGTCCGGTAACTCCCCCTCTGAAGTACACAACGCTGGCGCTCTCGTTTCCCAAAATCATGCGAGTAAACGTTCAAAGAAAACGCAGCAAAGGGAGGAGGTGGAGTATACAGAACACCCTAAAGCCATGTAGCTCGAAAACTGGTGGTTTTCGAGGCTACGGCCAGGAGCCATCGCCGCGTTGCTATGAATATATAAGGAGACTTCCTGTCCGTAAACAGCAGAGAGGGTTCGTGGTCCTGAAAGCGATTACTCGGTGATCAAAGCATCTGCATGACCAATAGGGTATATTGGTGTCCAGCTGGGCCGTATTGTCAAGAGTCACTACAATAACAGAAGTTTAGCTGGTTGCGGTGTGTAGTTTTTTATCCACCGCCAGGCATGATGCCAATCGACAAAGACATGTTCCGTTGATGAGACGCTGCCCTGGCTTAGAGGGAAGCTACAAGTGTGTAGTTTACGTGCTCAGGAGGAGTGGGAACACATTCTAGGCTGAAGCGCTGGGCATGGGCTCCATTTCGACATACTTCCAGTTAGCAACACGGTCTCCCTAGTATGATCTCGTAGGATGCAAACAACAAGGGATCTTAGGTGGGAGAAGGACATCAGCCCCCAGGTAAAGAGCGAGTGGGAACACTATTCGTACGCGGCGAAGGCCGACTTGGTGCCATTTGCCCATTCACAGTGTGTCGTCGAGTGCCATTGACAGCAAGAATCGTAGGTATGTAGATTTGCTGTACCTTCCACAACGTGACAAATGACAGGGAACAGCACTCGGCGATGCTGTACTCAGGAAGACATGAGGACACTTGGCCGGTTCCACGCATAGCAGCAGTTGGTCCTCTTTGAGCACTAACTGTTGAAGCAACGATAGACTCGCGCCCGATGCGATTGCGACTACGTACGTGGGGTCGCATCTCGGGATGGCCTGACATCCTCATCCACGCCCAAACCAAGCGTTTCTCGAAAGATCTGACAGACCAGAGAACGTGTACGAGGGAGCGATACACGAAACGAATTCCCTCGGATCAACCGGAATGACAAAGCAGAACTGGGACACTCGCCTACAGTTTTCCGCCGGCCTCTACGTTCCACTTGCCACGCACAGGAATCCAAGAGCAAGAGGCATCGTGAAGGCAAATCCTGGCCAAGGACGGTCGGCCGCCCCCGGAAACATTACAAACCACTGGCACCCGGAAGCCCCGGCCCCAAGCATCTATCTGGCCGGCGTTGACACATCGGCGACCAAGAGCCTCTGCGGCACGCACTTACGTACTTCAGACACATCCATCTCCTTGAATACTCCCAATACGTCTCGCCGATACGCTGTGCCGCAAGGCAGCGGCGAGCCGTATCGGGCAGGCCAGTCTTCTATCGGCGACTTCATCTGCCGGGTGAGTAATTCGGGCAGGAACTTGGCCTTGAGAGGTCAGGCCGAGAGGAAGTTCCCGGGAGAAGGGCCAGCTCGTAGAGATTTGGAGCACGCCACTGCCTTCGGCGTCCTAAAATCTGGTATCTGGCATCTGGCATCTCGCCCCCCTCACACACCTGCGAGAGACCTTCAAAACGCCCGCCCACATTACAAGAAATCCCAACGGCTTCTCGTACCAGGCAGGCAGGAAGCGGTGGCCGAAGGAGGCACCAGCTTGGGGTCACCGTCGGGGTCTTACGCCGCAGTATTGCCTGGCAGCCAAGCAACCTCGTAGACACACACACGCTCTCTCTCTCTCTCTCTCTCTCTCTCTTCGGCCAACCTCACAACCCAGGCTTCTGGGCCCATCGTGACCTCCGCCAACCTTCTGTTCCCCTTCCATAACCTTCCCAGGCTAGCGGACATCTTCCCTGCTTCCCGAGCGTAAACCTCAAACACTCGTGCAAGGCCCCTCTGACACCAAACTGACAAAACATCCCAAACACCACTCGGTGACATTTCTCCAGGCCTTTGAGGGCCACCCCCCTGTCTCGCTGCCCGAGATGCCCTCGCTTATCAGAATGAATCATCTTCAGTACCCATCTTTAAACGGCACCAGGCCACCGTATCACCTGGGTACTTCTCCAAAACCGCGCAGTCTTAACGCTGGGTACATCTCTCTTACGGCGAAAAGTGCTCGTCGTCGAGGTACTTTCCGTAAACAGCCGTGAAGACCGTTTACAGACCCTCCCCTCCCTAAATCCCCCTTCGTGCGTTGGCCAGTCCAGTCCAAAATGAGCCAGTTAGCGTACCCAGCAACAGTCATATGACAGACACTTTGGGCTGTCATACAGAGGACAAGGACTTTTTCCAGCCCGACCTAGCCTTCCTGGAAAGATCCCAGGGGGGGGGTTGAATCCACCGCGCAGAAGCGAGGTAGCTGGTGCGCGGTGGCGGCCGTATGACTCATATTCCAACCATGCGCGCGCCATTATCGCCGACGAACCATCGGCGTGCTGGGCTCCGTTTTTCAAATGCCCTAGTCAAACGTGAGTATCAGTAAACCGTTCGTATTGCTGGCCTCATTCGGCACACGCATCGGAAGTTTTCCGTTAGTAAGCGAAAGAAAGGTCCTGGGTGTACGGAGTACCAGCAACGTGGCGCCTCACAACGCACACTTCAATGAGCCGTTTCCAGCGCAGGTGTACACAGAAGCGAATTCAGTCCCAAATCTGGTACATTTTGATTGATAGGCCAGACAGAGCAACAACTTGTCTCAGGGTCAAAAAGCTAGCTATGAATCTCTCGAATATAGCTTCATCGCTTTTTCGGAAGTTGCAGTAACACGTGCTGTGTCGTTTCCATCCTTTTGTGAAACTTTTCGATAACCGCGGCCAGTGACATGCTTCTGCGTGCAGAGAATGAGATGTGTCTCGTTCTGCTCGTTCTGGTCGCCCCTTTCGGATCTCCCTTCGAGCGCCCAATCACACATACCCAAACTCTGATCGCGGGCGGTTCGACTCGAAAAACTCGTCATGTCGTCGGGCTAACAAACGCGAGAAATTCAAACGCAAAATCGACTCTCTTCTTCAAAGGGTGATCGTACAAACACAACCGCGATAACATCAATCCACTTCGCCGTCCACCTCCCCAATGCCTAGGTCCTTTGATGCATGCAAGATTACCACGCTTTTCGTGCCGTTCCTCGACGCCATCTAAGCTGTTCTAAGGACTTGATGAGCCGCCAGGTGGTATCAAAGCTCTTTCCGTTCCCCGCCACCCCGTATCGAGTTTCGTTTTAACAAAGGAAAATGAGGATAATGCACAAGAGGGTCAATTGCCTTGTGGCTTTTGACCGTTGGGGTATCTCGGGAAATTTGCACGAAATGTGCTTAGTTGAGGATACCATCCCACATTCCCGGTCCGCGGTACCCAACAATGGAGTGAAGGGCCGTTTCGTAGACCGGTGTGGCTTCGTTGGCGCAGCATACGCGCTTGCGAGGAGAGCCCCGCTCATTGGCGGCCTTGAGGTTGCTCCTGGAACGAACCAGAGACTGAGTCCACTGCTTCCCTGAGTAGTTACCAGACAGCATGTCGCGAACGTTCTCTTGAAGTGAGGTGTCGACAATCGAAACACCACGAGCCCGCTTGCGGGAAGACATGCCAGTCGGGGTAGCATCGTCAGACCGGTAGTTCTGGAGTTCCTGGAGTGCTCGTGCGGCATCGTTTGCGGGGTCGTGAACCATGGCGTCCAGTTCGCATTCTCCCTGAGCCATTGGAGTATCCAACGACATGTCACCCAATCTTCCCACCGGGCCGGTGTAAGACTCGGGCGACGACGTTACGCAAGTCTCTTCGTAATCTTCAGGAACCGAGGTGATCATCGGTCTCAGGCTCGCTCTCTCACTACACAGCTTCGCGGATCGGAATCGCGCCTGGATCCCCAATTTAGGGGCCGGCGCGCTAACCAACGACGAAGCCGATGAAATAGAGGAGGAGCGCGAGGTCTGTGACGAATCAGAAACCATCGATTCGGGAGAAGACGCAGTCGAGATTGAGGCGGCAAGAGAGGATCGGCGAACAGGGAAATAGCCCTGGGGTGACGATGCGTTCGGAACGGGCCAGCGGTCCAGGCACTGGGTAGCACTGACGCACGAGGCCTGAGCCATGGCAAGGCCCATCGCACTGCTTTTGCTGGCGAGGTGAGACGCAGCACTCACGGCAGGAGTGCTGTATCCGCTTGACTGGGGCGTGAGTCGAGGGGTTGGTAACAGACCAAGGGCGGGAGCCAGCCGACCCGGAGTATATACAGTGGCCGGGGTAGGCTCCATAATAGTCGGGGTCTGGAATGACCGCGGGGTAGGAGTAAGCTCCGCAGAGTCATAGCCCAATCCGCAAGCGCTGGTTGCAGACCGAACATTCTGAGTAGCCGATAGCATGGTACGATGGCGGGGGAATGTGCAAAGAGTTCGGTTGATCTGAGCTGTGGGGATCAGACCTTCGATGTTGTCCAGCTCAGGGTTCAACTTGAGAATGACCATCTTCCAGTTTGAGCTCTGCTGCGCGTACCACTGCGCCGAAGTTCCTGGTGCCGGAGGAGACGGCGGCGTGTACTTCAGGACAATCTCGGTCCATCGCTGGAACACTTCGTCGACGATGTGCAATTTCCAGTCAACCGCCAGGAGAAAAGCGATCTCGTTCTGGTTGATTTCTGCAGTGTTGAGTCCCGAAATCTTGCTCCAAGCTCGCGCCGAGTAATTCCGATCTTGAAGATATTTTGAAGCCAAGATCAGTGCAGCAAGGAACATGCGACGGCCACACTGAAGCGCGCGGCACTCATGCTTGTCATCGGGTTGTTCCATGGTAAAATCATGCTTCGGGATGTGGGGCTTGATCAGAATTAGGTAGTACAGAGCAACTTGCAAGGTAGAATAGCTGGTGCGCGAGCGGCGCAGGGTCTCCTGAATGAAGGTGCGCAGCGGTAGGACAGCCTTGCTGCCAAGCTCATTGCGACAGACGGCAGAGGAAAGGGGCCAAATAGCCTCGACGATCTGAGTTGACGAATCTAGAAGCGGTATCGGGTCAGGAAACATCTCAGTTGCGTGTAATCTCCTATTGTGGCTTACCGACGAGGTTGTCGACGAAGTTGACCTTGCGCTCGGATTGTCGAACCAGAGTCGGAGGTGCTCCGGAGCGAGTGTTACCCGCACTAGTCCGTCTCGGGTTTTGCCGTAGCTCCTGGGGGATAGCAACGGGGACTTGCTGGGTGGGTTGTTTGGCCCAGGGGCTCGTGAACCTAGTGGCAGAATGGCATGAGGCAGAAGGTCGCGACAAATAGTACGAGTCGGTTGGGTCAGAGTCGGAAGCGTTGGCGGGGGAAGTCGAACTAGAGGATTGAGAGGAAACGGCGGACCAAACCGAGCCCGACGATGTGGAGGTCAGGGATTCGACAGAGGAGCTATAGGTATCGTTTCGGTAGGTGCCGATGAAAGCCGACGAATCATCGACGCCGAACTTCATCTTGAATGCAAGGTGGGTGGGGGTGGGGGAGTTTGGCGTTTGGAAATTCGAAGTAGGATGTACCTCCAGTCGCCGTCAAGCTAAGTCAACCGGGTAAACCGTTAAAAGGTTCGTATGAGCAGATCGTGATACCGTATCGGAAACGCGAACCTCACAGCAGCATGTAGTGGCTGATGTCAAGTCCTTGAGAGTCGTAGATAGGGGAGCGGCTTCTAGACGAATATGTCCAAAACCGACTTTACACGAGCGATCAAACCGGAAGACGAAACAAGAGGGGAGACTGGAGTAGAGTTTGTAATTCGAAGATGCATCGTTGGTTTAATGCATCTAGCCGGGGTGGAGTGAGGTTCCTGGTTATGTGGTGAGCTACTGCAAAGCCACCATGTAGTCCAAGCCGATGCGACGAGACGGTGTGGTAGTGGTTAGGTGAGTTGTGTAAGGGGGGATGATGGACGACGATATGGAGATAGATGGGTGCAGGGCGAAGTCGGAGGTGGAAGGGTGATGGGTTGAGGGGACAAGGTGAAGTGAGGTGAGTGTATGCAAGGTGCAGCCAAGTGTGGCTGCGGGGAGAGGTTATATCCAAGCAGGATGGGGTGGTGTGTGACTCTTTTTCGCCTTGCGCCGTGGTATCTCGAACGTGTTCAGAGGGGCGACTTGGGCTGGCGTGACGAAGTCGGAGGGCCCCTTTGGGTGGCTCAAGTCTTGCTCAAGGCCCAGATTGGGTGTGGATGATGACTCTTTCGGGTTGAGGTGGCGAAGGGGGGTGTACCTGGTTTGTTGCCGCCCAGACAGGTGGCTCCAAGTGGCAGGCAGATATGGGGGGAAGAAAGAGACGGGAAAGTGCGTGCGGGAGAAGAGTGGTGGCAGCCTAGGGAAGGCCGAGAAGGGGACCCGGGGGGTGGCAGGGGTGGCAAGGGTGCGAAAGTGGTCCAGCTGAGTGCGTGATCGCTCTCCGGGGGGGGCCAAGGAAGAGAGACAAGCCAGGCAGAACTAGCAAGAAGATTGCTATTGCTGCGCGCTTCTTGCTTGACTGCCTAGTCTCGCTCGTGTAGGGGATGGTGTGCCGCGCAGAGTGTCTTGTTACTTACCTAGCAGGCAGTGCTGAATCCCTCCTCGGATGGAAAAAGCTCTTGGCGGCTACAGAGGAGTGTGGCGAAGAGAGTGCAGGGTCAGCTGAGTTGACAGAGACACCAGGCTGGAAGATGAGTCGTAATCGTCGTGTGAGTTGTTGTTGTGGCTTTGCCGGGGCGAATGATTAAAAAAGATTGAGTATAAGGGTAAGAGCCGAAATATGGTTGCAGGGTATCGGGATTTTGCAAGACAAGAAGAAATAAGTAACTCTGGGAGATGGGGGTGCGTGGAAACGCTGGTAAGGCAGTAGAATGTCGATGAGAAAGGGCGGTTAGACTGAATTAAAGTCGGGGTCCGATCTCAAAATATCCCAGCGTGAAAGGAAGTCGAAAGCCTGCTTTGCCTGGCTGCTGGTGATGGTGGAGCTTGAAAACGGGAGTGTATCCGCAGGCCAAGCCTTTGTTAGTCGCAAGGAACAAGTGAATGCCGCTGCGATGCAAACAAGGGGCCTAGAGATGGCGCGAGGACTGGAGGTGTGGTCGTCGTGTTTGGTGTTGATGGGTTTGTTGCGATGTTGGCGGGATGAGTAACGTGACCGCCCGAGGGAGGGGGGTAGGCCAAGATGACTCTTTGAGGCGAGAGGGATCCGATGGAATTATGCCACGGGAAGTGACTGGTGGATGGCGAGAGAGGCGAGGTGTTGCAACAGAACAACGAACCCCCAAGGTGACAAAGAAATAAGCGGAGGAGTTGGTCTAGAGTCTCGTCCCAGGTGTTCCTGAGATAAGGCACGTCTAGCAGACTTCGGAGAGTCGCTGTCGTACAAATTTAGACCTTGGAATCGAACATGGCGACGGCGATAGTTCGATAGAGCAAGAGGAAAGGGAAGGGGGAGGGCACAAGTGCACGGCAATGTGGGCGCGTCGATAGTTTTGAATGCCTGGGGGAGGAAACACTCAGAGCAGCTTTACGGTACAGTCGACAGGTACACCACGTTGAACGGCAGGCGAAAAGGTACATGGAGACAAGTACTCCGTACATTTGGCATTCTCGATTTGGGAAACTGCTGGGGGGCCACCAGCACCTGCTCCACCTCTCTTCCAATGGACTGCACCGGCCACCTTTACGTTACTACAGAGTACACGGCAGTATGTACCGCCTTGCTCGGCTTGGCTGAAGGGAAGTAAAGGCTGGGATGGGATGGGAGAATGAGAGGGGGGGGATGCTGGAAAGAGGATGCAGCCGGACACCCAGTGAGTCTCAGCATCCGTCCACTGTCTTTTCTTCGTCTGCAACTTGATTGGTCTGCACTCTGGTGCACTGTGGATCTCCGTCGTCCTCCTTCCCAGGGTGCGGGTGAGGGCGATATCGAAACCCAAAAAATAGCCACGTCTCCACTTTTCCCTTGCTCTCAGACTCTCACACGCACTCTCTTTCAGATTCTCAGTGTCCTCCTGCCTCCTCTCGCGCGCAGAATGACTCCTTCCCATGCTTCTCGTCCCTCTTCCGCATATCGTCGCTGCTGCTGCCGCCGCCATCACTCAAGCTTATCATGTTCATGCTCAATCGTGGGTCTGCTGCTGTTCATACACTCCTCTCACACACAATTTGCTATTTTCCTCTTGTCCCTACCTGCTTTCCTCTCTCACATTCATATTCATTTTATTGTATGTATCCGTACATCATACAACAAATACTTTGTACGGAGGGATACTCCGTACATACGTCGTATACACATGCCTCAACCCCACCTCTGCTGCCTACCTTGTGTGCCTGTCCAGTGTTGGGTTTCCTTATCGTCTGCTGATTGTTCGCTCATTCATCAAATGTGTGTCCTACGGCGTACAGATGCCTCATTCGTACCTGTCCTTCCGGGTTCAGTCAGGTATCGCTGCTTCCATTCCTGCTTTGCCTAAGAGCCTGAGATCGCGCCCAAAATATTCGGCGTCGTCGTCGTCGTCGTCGTCGTCTCCAACCGAATCATATTTCCATTCGGTTCTATGCACCTGGGATCCGGGGGGGTGGGAGGTCTGTCTGCCTGCCTGCCCAGTCTGATGAGTCTTTTCCCAACTTGCATCATCCTTTGCGTCGTGTTTCCACGCTCGCTCCTGCCCAACTTCCTGTCTTTTTTCGCCATGGCATCTTCCGTGGCCACTTGGCCGCTCTCGTCAAAATGTCCTTTCTTATTGGCTGTTTTCACTCAATACCATTCCATATCAGGCTAGCGTTGCCAAGCCTAAATGACCTGCTCAACCACTCGTGTGCGCCAGCAGCACACCTTCTTGCTGTGGCCCATCCTCTGTGACTTCAGGCAACCTGCAATGCTGAATGGCTGTTTGCTGCTGCCCAGCCCCAAGCCGGCAAGGCAGGAAGGATGCTGCATCTCGAGGGGAGGAACGGTACGGATACACTACGTGACTACCTAGGTAGTGAAAGGAAGAGAGAAAAAATAAGAGTCATCGTCCTCTCCCCACCACCACCTTCCCTTCTGTACCATGGTCGGGAAAGGGGGTGGGGGGCCACGGAATCGCTCTTTTGATGCCAGACATCTGTTCCATCCTATCCAACCAACGTCTTACTGCTCCAACTATTATAGCGCCAACTTGTTAAACCATTATAGCAACCGCCAGGTATCGACACAGATTCAGCAACTGCTCTGGCCAAATCACACCGTGTTTGTTGTGCGAGGTCGAACATGCCATGGCCAAGCCGGTGAAGGGTATCACGAGCCCGGTTGTCAGCATATATCCATTTCCGCCGAGACTCCACGCATCGGCGCTCGAGGGCATCTACGACATACTTGGCAGGAATCGACTGACAACAGCTGTTGTCTCGCTCGTGATCTCGCCACCAGATGGTCAAGCTTCGCGCTGGAAATTTTCTGCACGACCTTGTGTTCCATCATGCCACCACACCCTCGGGGCTTTGGCGCCAGGAAATCAACCAACCGCGACGCTCCCGATTACCCTAGCTGCCTACAGGTCGACAAGAGATGGCGACACACGCACCCGCTATGCTGCTTCTCCTGCGCCAATCACCCCTGCGGCCGAATCTCGATGTTCTACCAGGCCAATTTCACTTGGCCTAGACTTCTTGGTGTTATCGCTCCTTGAATGTGAACTTGATAGTTGGTGCTCGCTCATCCTCTCTCTCCCCGTCTCCCCTCGCGCTATTGTAACGCGTCGGCGGTCATGGTATCACCCTAATTTCGCGGTTTAATTGGCTTCGTCACCCGCCGGCACTCTCTGCCGAGGTCCCATAGAGTAAGAGTATCCGCAGTTCCATCGATGGGGTCGCCGGACGGGGCCTGGCAATCTCAGAAACCCGTCTCCTGTGCACTCCTCACATCGCGTGGCCTAAGACCCCTTTTGCTAGCTTGCACACAAGAAGCTCAGGATGCTTACGGCATTTCTCCTATTGCGCGTCTCGGCGCTTCCTTGAACGACAAACGATTGCTCAGCCGCTTCACCCTCTTTGTCAGCCCCGTCTGAACGTCTCGGAAACGACAGAAAAGTTGCATCCGGTTCGCTCAGCCACACCGTCGCTGTTGTCCAACTCATTTTTACGCATTGTCTCTCGGGGTTTCCGCACAACTTAGTGCATATGGCCATACCAACTGACTGAGAAAGAACAACAAAAAGAAGAAACCCCGATTTGATGTAGCGGAAAGGACTCGATCAATGGGCCATCTCTGGTCTCAACCAGATGGGTCTTTTGGACGTCCAGAGACACTCTAACATGTTACAGGCGGCAGGTCTGGTACACATGTTACGGTTAGAACGCGCCCCATACGATGCATATCTTCATCTCGCCGAGACGCACTACATGCACAACTAATCCAAGCTCCGCGACAATACATCAAAATATGTACCCTGCATCGCTACAGCACCGTGGTGAATGCTCGCGGAAGCACAGGGAGTGCTATGTTTGCCCCGAAGCATCATGCTGACAGACGATATGGGACTAAGAATCAGTGCCAAACTTCCCTTCAGGTTCCTGTGCTCAGGTGAAGGGCTCTCATTCGCCTAGTACTCTTAGCCTTGTCGAGTGTGATACACGGACTGCGTGTACTGGTCCATCTCGCCCGCCGGACGGTGCTGGGTGCGTCGGCACTCGCAAGACTGACACTGAACCGGTGGAGACGGGCTCGCGGGAAACCGACCGCCAGTTTAGACCCTGGCAAGCAGCCAGATCCCTTTTCGATTTGTACCGAGCCTGGAAAGTTTGGACCACTTACCAAGCAAATGTCGAGCATTCCCCCATGGCAAAAGGGCACAGGGCAGATTTGGCATGCTTCCAAGAGGCCTGTGTTCCCATCCCGATGAATTCCCCAAGGGGCAGTAGTTTCTGGAGACTGGAGGCTGGGAATGGGAGGCGAAAGAGGGGGGATGGACGGTCTGCGTGTGCCTGCTTCTAAGAAGCCATGCCGTCATCTGGCCACTGCCCCTTGTGCAGTTCGTGCAGGCGTCACTTGGTCTGGCTGCACGATGCAGGCTGTCTGCAGCTTCACTGGCGTTGCCATGTCACCCACCTTCAGTCTCCTCCATCGCAATCCTTCCCCGCTCCGCCCCGCGGCACACCATCATTGGACACCATCTTTCGTGCAGCAGGCCAACGAAGTCTACGTAGTAGATTGCCATGCGGTGGCAGGGCAGTGATGATCAAGGCGAGATGGAGAGGAGAGGGACAGACCAACAATGCCGTTGGCCACCATCCTCTCACCGTTGTCCATCCGAAGTGACATTCGCCCACGGGGATTAATCCGAGGACGGACTCGTTCGCATACTCATGCGATTCCCACACGATACCGGTGTAAGCTATGGTGTACACGTACTATGGTGAACATGGACGTCCCTCTTTCAGCGGGCAAGCCTTGCCCATAGCCTCCGTCCTGTTGTCGCTCGTAGCCAACGAACGCCGCTGTATGACCGACTGGTTTGGACACGCGCGGGTTGCGATGCTCACGAAGGCTCTGACTGTCCGTGTCTCAGCCGTGGTCACTCGGCGACACGGCAAGAGACTTGGCGAAAGCGCGGAGAGTCGCAAGAAGCCGCAGCCGTGATCTGCCGCGCGGCTGCTATTCTGTACGAGTAGATACACGACTCGAGCAAACGAGCTACAAAAGAAAGTCGGAACCAGTGACGATGGCTCCAAGGCGCGGTGCTAGATATCGGTCGGGTTCGCCTAAGTCACTATTCCCCTGTAACTTAAAGAAATTTCTAGTGCTATTACGGCCTGGCTGCGACACACCAAAGGCATCGCCGAGGCAATCTCCGGCTTTCTATGGACAATCGGCAGGCCGAGGCCCACCAGGAGGGGGGCCTCAAGCGCTCCAAAGAGGCATGCTTCGAGAAGATCGCGGATTTCGAGCTGAAGGCTGAACTGGTAAAGGTAAACTAGTACCTACTGCGCATGTCGCGTCGACGATGATACTCTTCACGGGAACTACACTCGGTTTCAGCACCGCCCGAGAGCCCAACCGAGCGAGGTGTGCGATACACGCCACCTCTCACCTTCTCTGTTTAGTATGACTAAGACGCAGCCACTTGGATGCCCTTTCAATACCTTTTGCGACGCTCCGCGACTAAAAAAAAAAAAAAAGACGGAAGGGAACAAGAGAGGCGAATCGAATCGTCCCTGCGATGATATCTCGGCAAAGTGGCACCATCGAACATTGGCTGCCAAATCAAACAATGGTCATTTGTCGAGGCGTATGTCAACAGCAATCACATAATGTAGTGTACATGGCATTGCAGGGAGAGATTCGCTCTTGGACCACAATTTGAGACGTGCTGGACTCCATCTCCGTCATCTTTGTTGACCGAGAGAGCCTAGCGGACAGGCTTCAGCCACCGTGACGCTGACCAAACTCGTTGGGTGGCGGGAGCAAAACCCCTCACTTTGCCTCCCTCTCACGGATAATCTGCTGAGCAGAGCGGTATTCTCGGCGCTTGGGAGGAGGCAATCCTCCCCCCCCCCCCCCCCGAACGAAGCGAGGGTGGGGAGAATATGTCCGTCCTCTTGTTCGCTACAAGCGCTCCGGAAGCCTCGGTGGTGGAAAAGAGCTTGGCGCAGGCGGCGTTGGCGTTGGACCAGACTCTACAGCTGACCGAGAGCTGGAATGTCGAGACATGATAATGGCACTACGTGTGACCTTTCAGCTCTCAAGGCCAGGTGTTGGCTGCTACTTACGACCCAGGGTCCTTCTTCCATCCGTTTGCAAGAATCCGATCCGGCTTCCATTGTCGTTATGCACCGAGGCTCGTGTTCAAAGGTTTCGGAGACCTTTCCGAGCGGGCCGGATGGCATACAAATCACACCATCAGCAAAAGGGGCCATTCTCGACGACGGATCCCAAGTGTATTCCTGCTGACCGCCCTCGCCCACTTGCCACAGTGCCGCAGGAGCACCAAACCCTGGGAGTCCCCAAGTGCAAATCCTGGCCCAGGCAGCAGCATGGATTGGATGCCATCCACGAATGACCCGCACTAGGCAAATGACCAAGGGAACAGTGTGAAGTTTCATTGGTCCTCTAGTCCGGCGACGTCCTATAGAAACAACTCCAGCAAGTCATCACAACCAGGCTACCAGACCACTAACCCGCCATCCTGCGTCTCTTGCCTTGTTCAGCTCTTCACGCGCAGGCAGCTGAAGTGTAGCCTCGCATGGGCTTACGGCGTGAATCTGTGAATCCCATCTCAGATTAGATCTCGGTTGGGGTGGGAGTAATCCCCCGGCTTACTGAGATACTTTGCCTTGAATCCTAGACGTCACAAACTCCTTGGACAGACCAGGTGGGGCAGGTCGCCCAGACACGCCAAAGACGAAAGTCCCAAAAGCTCAACCGAGTGGCTGTTGAGGCCCAGCATCGTGACCCGAACATCAGTGTCAAGGCGTGCAGGTAGCAGCGCGCCTACAACGAAAGTCCTTCTGGCGGCCTCGGGCAGATATGCGTGGGCGATAACGAGACCGATGCCGGCCATTGATGCCAAGTCGTTGAGGTCCTTTAGTCACCGGTTCTACCATGATGGTCGGCGACTTTATCTGACTACTATCATCATGATAGGCAAATGACTCTTACCGATGCCGTTGCGTCCTTATCACCTGCTGGCAGGCGGGGTTTGTAAAAGTCAAAGGAGCAAGGAAGTTTGAACAAGCCGAGAACCACGATAGCCGTTCTGAACTCTTTTTATATGGCTCTACCCAGACTCGAGTAAGTGGAAACGGAGGGACAGGTGTCTGTCAGTCGCCGGTTCCCGCTTTGCGCAATCCACGAACCGACCCACGCGATCCGTACACCCTTCCCGCGTGACAACTTTGGCCCCAGAGCTCATACAGACAACCCATCTTGAACTTTCTGGGGCCGTCCCGCAATTTAGAGTGTTGTATTGGCGCCGGTTGGGGAAGGCACTGCCGCAGCGTCAAAAAAGTAAATCGGCCGAGTAATGGGCTTCTGTCCGTCGGAGCGGGCGCAGTAGCAGATTATTGTTGTTTTCTTTTTTATTATGTTCGTCGGCCTCCTCTATTGTTATGGCGGCGTGGCTGTGTCGGGCTGCGACGATTTACATGACCATCTTCGGGTGCCAACGTTTAGAATGACGAATGCAAATGCGGGTGGCTGACAGACACACCGGGGCTTGGAACCGGGCAGACTCGGGAGGCTGAACTCCCGGCATTCACGGCGGCATGCCAAGACTTAAGGCTCCTTGGCTCTTGATATGCACCATCTTGTACGACGAGCTCAGCCGGCTGAGAAGGCTGGATGGCAGGCAGGCATGAGGTAGGCAGTAGGTAGGCTATGAGGCGAATCCACCTCGGGGCGCGCCACGATGGTTGAGAACCCAGATAGGTCACGTTTGAGCGTGTGTGGATCATCGTGATGACGGATGAGTGGTGTTGTCTGCCTGGACTTGGCCAAGTTGCCACAACTTGTACGTATTCAACTGCCTCCCGCCCCCTGTACCGCAAGTCACACGTGGGAGAAGCTTTTCCACTCATCGGCGTGGTTGCCGATCATCTAGAGGCGAGGATAGATGGAATCAACGAGGGGGAGTCGGACGCCAGGCACGTTCAGGCTTCGACGACGGCGCTGTGAATAACCGGGACGAGTTCCCGGCGGAGTCTCGAGACCAGAAGACTTTTTTTTTTTCTTTTTCTTTTTTCACCTCTTGGATGGCTCATCGGCGTGATGACTCCAGGGTTCAAGTTCCTGCCTCGCTCGTGTCAGGCTATCGCCGGGGCACACGATGACAAGGGGTGTCTCTATCGACGGGGGCGAGTTTGAGGCCACCGTTGAAGTGTTCATGGTGAGGACGTCCAGCATCGTAAGATGACGAGGAAGGCGATGGATGACATGAGTCAGTGCCCGGGTATCGTTGGCCACCGTTGCCTCCATTTTGGAAAGTGGTTCAATGTAAGCTTTTGGCCTGAGGGGGGGGGGGGGGGGGGGGGGCCGCATCACATCGCTACGTGTGCAAGTTATGCCTGCGTGTTCACTACAGAGCTTCTGATGACACAGGTGAGCGTTCTACCCAGATTTCTGATTAAAGTTATCGCACGTCAAGAGGTCGCCACAACCATATATAGCCTTAATCTTTCTCTAGACGAGTACTTCTTTAAGTCTTGGGCTCGTCATGTTAGTGGGTCCTCGCATATCGGGGTCCCCATATATGGCACGCATTGTGGTTCCGTATACAACCTCACTCCATGCGGTCACAAGCGCGCCTCCAGACGCATGCGCGATCGTGGTCACGGGACACGGGTCTAAGCTTTTGACCGACTAGGGCGTCTCTCCACCCTGAGCTACCCTCGTCCCTGTGTGAGACTCGAAAAGCTGGATCCGAGTCCCAAATAGTCCATCATCGACAGCTTTCACACTCGTCCTAAACATTAGAGGCGATCTGTTTTCGCTCGAAGAAAATTACTGTCATACTGAGCATACGCTGGGGGGGGCGTAATCAGCGCTGACGTCTGGTAACTTTCCAAGGGGGGGGGGGGTGACGGCATCGACGCCCAAAGTCGATGTAGTCACCATCTCTGTCACTCGGCCAGCCCGTCCCCGTGCAGGCGTCGTAACAGCGGTCACTATGAACCCCGAGCACGCCGGCGAACCCAGTCCACAAGGCCTCTGCTCGGCGAGACGCTCGACATCGGCCATTGGACATGTTCGCCATGGTCGACGCATCATCTCCGGGGCGCGCGCGCGCCAGAGGAGGTCCTCCCGCTGCTTCCTGAAAATGGGTTCGGCCTCCGGCCACTGCCTCGCCGATCCCGTGTTGAAACTGATGGCATCCATACACAACGCAAGTACAGCTCGGGCTCTATTCGTCAGGACGAGACGGGTTCGATGGCCAAGAGACAAGAGGCCTTCGACACTGAACGACGGTGCCGGGTTTCAAACCCGGCCAGCGACAACTCAGCGTCGAGACCTTAGCACCCAGAACGTGAGACGCAGGTCATAACGAGAAAAGTCAGCGTATGCCATTCCGAGTTTCCGTTGGTTTAGAAAATGTATAACCACTCGACGGGGAGCTTGCCACGCCAGCATAGGTTACTAACACGATTCGAATAGCTCCGGCACAGAATGCGAATCTCTTCCCATATTTTCTTCTGTCCAGTGATGTTCTAATGCCAGATGCTTCGTGCTCATCAAAAGTGCCACCCCGGGGAGGGACACCAGCCAAGCTGTTTCGAAGATGCTTCTGTTTATCATTCATTGACAAGGAGAGGGCGTGGCTGGCAACGTCAGAAGCATATTTGATTATGGCTAACAATAACATAGGAAGGGGGCAGGAGTTGATGTCACAGCTTTCATTCAACCTTTGTGTGCTACCGCTGAACATCAAGAATCCAGAGGACGTGATGGGGCCGTCCCAGGTCACGCCAGTGGTCTCGTTATTGCAGGCCTTGGGCATCGGGCGGTGTTGAAGGTTGTTAGCTGTCGCACATGCCCGGACCCATATTGTGGAAGAAGTGGCCGCTGTGTTGAAACACACTGCAACGGCATTGCAGTATCTAGCCTGCCATCTCGATGCTGTTGAACCAGACAGTCGTCCGCGAGTGTGGTCATTCTACAACGTAGTTCTCAATATGTCACTCTATTTCAAAACATCAAGACATGTAGCAAACACCCAAAGGAGATCAACGTGTCATGAGGGCGCGCCCAGTGGTGACAGCTCTCAAATTGTTTTCGTCCCTGAAAACAGTCCTATATATTTCTCTCGAACTCGTCAAGCTCCAAGCGATGGTAAATGGCAGGGAATGGCATGCAGTCAATAGCGGCAGGGAACCAGAACACATCGTATGTTGGCTACGAAGCTCATAATGCAGAGACCTTCAACTACCAGCGGTCTATTTACATTGCTGGTACGACTTTTTGCGAAACATGACGAGACTCAAAGAGCGTGGCTTAACGTAGGCTATATAAACTAGGACAACGATGCCGGTGGCCAAGTGCTTACTTGCCAAGGCAGTGTCGTTGAGATCAAATGAAAACAACATTGGCATCCCGACGACAGGGGCGCTTAAGACAAGTTGTGGCCAGAAGATGACGTGCATGCTTTGGCAAATGGGGAAGCAGTACTATTATGAAGCAGACGTTGCCGAAAGACTTGAAGCGCCGATATCCGCTACCGTTGCGGTACCGGAATAAAGGGGTTAATGCTGAAGTTGCAAATGTATTGAGAATCATCTTCACCAGGGGCACAGCATGCTCGTCAACGGAACCATTGAGCATGGTGATGCAGTCTTGATTTCCCTGTATAACTACTCTCTACACATAGCAAGAGGCCTCATTCGAGGCTGTCAAACTTTTCCTCTTTTGCTTGGAGCAGCTCTTATTTCGCTTTTCTGTGCACATGCTTTCCTTGCACGTCACACGTCCAAAATTGTGCAATTCCAACCCGAATCAGTGGAACAAAGGACACTGGCAGCGGACGTTCTGCCGAGCAACGGCATAACCCACTTAGGAGGCCATGTAGGTGCTGGCGTCAATACCCTCCTTGGGGAACTCACTGTCATGGTGTTAGAGATGGCCGGGCATAGAGTCAAGAGGACTACTTACGGAAGAGCGACCTCGAAGCGCTTCTCAATGGACTTAAGAACCTCCTGATCTTGGTCGGTGCTCACAAAGGAGATGGCAAGACCCTTTGTACCGAAACGACCGGCACGACCGACTCTGTGCAGGTAGGAGTCGGCGTCGGCGGGCAGGTCGTAGTTGATGGCCAGGTTGATGCGCTCAATATCAATACCTCTGCCGAAGACGTCGGTGGCAACGCAGATGCGCTTGTTGAACTCCTTGAACTCCTTGTAACGGCGGATACGCTCCTCCTGGCTAACGCCGGAGTGGACGGCGATGGAGGGGAAGTTGCACTCTCTCAGCAACTTATCCAGCTCGGTCGCACGCAGAGTGCTCTTGACGAAAATGATGACCTGGTTGAACTGAAGGTCATCCAGGAGCTCGTTGAGCTTGCGGTTCTTCTCGCGCTCCTCGAGCTTGATGTAATACTGCTGAAGACCGTGCAGGGTGAGCTTGGTGTCCTCGTCGACGTAGTGCTCGGTAGGGTTCTGCATAAACTTTCGGCAAATGGGCTTGATCTCGTCGGACAGGGTGGCCGAGAACATCATAACCTGCTTCTGGGTGGGAGTGGCGCGGAAAATCTCCTGTACGTCGCGGCGCATGTCTGATTTCGTGTTAAGAATTGTTGCTGGTGGGAGTGACGCCGTAACTCACCAATCTGGTCGAGCATCTTGTCGCACTCGTCGAGGACGAAGATGCGGACGCTGCCAAGGCGAAGGACCTTATCGCGGACCAAGGCGTTAAGTCGGCCGGGGGTGCCCACGATGATGTGAGGGCAGGTCTCCTTGTTCTTGATGGTCTCGACATCCTTCTGGATGGGCGTACCGCCGTAGAAGACGCCAGTCTTGATGTCGGGCATGTACTTGCTGAAGCGGTTGTACTCGTTACGAATCTGGAAGGCAAGCTCACGAGTGTGGCACATAACCAACACAGAAACCTCGCCTTGAACAGGCTCGACTTGTTGAAGGGTGGTCAGGACGAAGACAGCCGTCTTTCCGAGACCGGACTTGGCCTGGCAGATGATGTCTCCACCGAGGAGAGCCTGGGGAATGCAGGTTTGTTGGACTGTTCGATCGCGCCGATGTTAGATAATTGTCCCAAGAGCAGAAGAACGACGTAGAGGGCGTGCAAAGGGCCCGTCCATCTGCGCAAAGAAGCCATTGTGTCGAATCGAGTCGAATTCTTCCCTCCAAAGCAGACACGCCGATCGATCGATCGAAAGTAACAATCGCCGGGGCAGAGCACGAGTCGCGAACGAGCATGGGCGGCGCTATGCGCCCATTTTTGCAGCTCGCGACCGTGATACAAAAGTAGCCGGAGCGCTAGGAGGCCAAGCTCTCGTCGCGCAAGTCCGGCTGAAGTGAGCTCGAGAACACCGCAGTGTTCGCGCAGTCGAGGGGCGCCATCACGCTTTCCCCTCGAGAACCGCAATGTAATCCACCTGTTATGGGTGGATTCGCGAGCAGTGCCCGTACATAGACTTTGGATGTCCGACTTGAACCCCGCCTTCTCGGCACTTTTTCGATAGCGGGTTCGATGGCTTTTGTATTTTTGCGTGGCTTGCGAGATGGACGGACGCTTGCTGATGGGGGAGGGGATGATGTATGGGTTAGGGTATTATAAACTCAGGACTGACCCTCCGAAGGATGCTCGAAACCGCAATCGCCAATAGCGCGGAGAAGCTCGGGCTTCAAGAGGAAGTCGCGGAAACCGGTCGAGTGGATGCCGACATAGCTGCCCTTCTTGTCGACGTTGTTGCCAGCGGCGGCGTCAGCCTTCTTTCCGTTGGAGGCGGCGGCCGTCTCGTTGGTCTGGAGCTCCTCGTCGGAGTAGTCGATGAGATCCTCCTCAGCAGACATGTTGTCGATGGTTGGGGATGTCGTTTCTAGAGAGTCGAAGGAAAATCGGCCACCAGGCTAACGCGCAACAAAGAATAGATCCCAAGACTGTTGATGCGAAGCTTGAGCGATCAGGATACGTCGACGATCAGCTAGTAAGCTGGCCGCGTATTAAAGAAAAGTCGGGGAACAACAATTTAATCGTGGAGAGGAAAACGCCAAGTCGTGTGGGGAAAAGCACACGAAGATAGCAGCTGTTGTTTGCAGTGTGGGAAGGCGGGATGGGAGGAGGCGCCGTGATTGATGTGGAAGTGGAAGATCCAAGGATGGCTGGCGTAGAACTGGAGGCGAAGGTAAGGCGGGCAGGGCAGCGCAAGGTCAAAAGCTTTCGCGTGGAAGACGGCTGAGTCTCCAGGCAACATCATGTGACCGGGACCCGCTTAGTCGAGTCAGTGTTACGTAGTAGTGTTCTCTGACACCTGTCCGCACTGTGGATCACGGATGCCGCCGCTAACCTTAATCTCTGTTCTGGAGAAAATAGTACCTGCTTAGACCGGGGACTGATTGCCTTAACCACCACTGCAGAAGTTTTATGAAACAAAAACCGTTGGGTCTCGTGTCAATACTGACTTCGATGCCTGTCAGTCAATGAAACGTTTTCAACTAGAAGGTGGTCAAAATGGCAAAGCCCAAAAGCGAGAGCCTGCCGAATAGACACGCATACACGCGCGTCTCCTACCTGCATCAGGCCGCGGCGTACCTGGCGACTGTGCAGTCACCCACCTCCGACTCAACCACCAACTCATCGCAGCCCGGCCACGCTCCTCACGCCGTCGATCATGAGAGATGCTTGGAGACAAATGAGACGGTTGCCCGGCGTTTCGTCTCCGACATTCGAGCCGTCTCGCTCAAGGCCCAGATCCGCCCGAGCCCCTCGCTCAAGCAGATGATGTGCAAGTACTGCGACTCTCTCCTCGTGGAGGGCAAGACGTGCTCTACGACGGTCGAGAACGCGAGCAAGGGCGGCAAGAAGCCTTGGGCCGACGTCATGGTCACCAAATGCAAGACCTGCGGCAACGTCAAGCGGTTCCCAGTCAGCGCGCCCAGACAAAAGCGGCGACCGTTTCGTGAACAAAAGGCTGTTGAAGGGCAGGATACAACGCCTGCGGTTTCTGAGATGTCGACTGGAGCCGATTGAAGCCGTTGGGTTATAATCGTAACTACTAGCGCCTATTTTCAGTCGAAATCCCACATAATGGCCAGCCCTGGATCATATTTGGGGTACTCAACCGCCAGCGGCAGGCCGGAGCCCCTTGTCGCGAGGTCCAGAGTCGAACCTACCAGTCGGCCTCAGACCAGGTGTGACCCCCTCTCGCCCTTTTCAAAAAACTAGAGAGTATGGAATCTAACAACGGGCCTAGAGTTCGGCATATAACACGGGGCTCTGGCTTTGAGCAACAGGTTGACGGCCCGTATCCGAAGCAGGTCGTGAAGGCCCTTCTCTACCTAAATAGCAGCTTGAAAACCGCGGCAAGATCCGTGATTGATGACTGGAGCAAGCCATGCCAGTCAAATTAGCAATCATGGAGGACATACCTCAAAAGGCTTGTACTCTCAAAGATGACAGTAATATGTAGGAATACCAACCATCGCAACTACATGCCCATAGTTCAGTAAGGGTTCTGAAGTGAAACAAATCATAAATCTTATCTCTTTTGCTATCATGTCCCATTTTTGTTTCTGTCAAGACCCCCAGGTCTTGAAATTAACACACGGCACGGTGGATACCATCCTCCATCGACCTAACATCCTTTCCCATCTCCTTGGCTGCGCCCTCCACGCCCTCTCTCTTCTTGCTTTTCTCCTCATCGCTCTTGACACGCACCCGCCTATGGCTGTGATGCTTCTTCAAAGCTTGCAGATCAATCTCGTCATGCTCGATGAGCGTTTCCGTGACCTCGACGATGTCCGTGATCAGGTGCTCGAGCAAATCAAAGGTCATGGTCTCGCGGACCACCACGCGGAGAATCTCAATCTTCTCCTCGTTGGGCGGAAGCGGGTAGTTGGGGATAATCCAGCCGCGGGCGCGGAGCATGAGTGAGATGGTCTCCTGCTTGATGTGCCGGTACTTGTTCCTGAACTCGTCCGTCAGACCAAAAGAGACGACGGGAAGACCAGCGACGTAATCGGCGGACGTCTCCCTCGGACCAGCGTTTTCCCCTCCGACGGTGCTAGCCGCCTGCTTGACGATCGACTTGGCGGCATGGCTGGCGGCCTTGTGGGGGGCAGGGCGGTGAATATCGGACATGACGGTGTACCAGCCCGTAGCTTCGAGGCTTTGAGCAAGGAGACGAGCGTTGGAAAGACAGTTCTCCATGATGGAGCGATAGCCATCGAAGCCTAGGTGGATGAGGTTGTAGTACTGAACAATGACTTGGGCGCCCGGGCGGGAAAAGTTTAGGGTAAAGGACTTTTCGGTGCCGCCGAGGTAGTGCAGCTCGAAGATAACGTCCTCTGGCAGGAAGGACTGGTCACGCCAAATGATCCAGCCGAGGCCGGCGTAGACAAGGCCATACTTGTGACCAGAGACGTTGATCGACTTGACACGAGGAAGCTCGAAGTTCCTGGAATCGTTAACGGGATGAGGGTGACCAGGCTGTCAGAAAACGAGCTTACCACTTGGACCCGCCAACACCAGCATGCGTGAAAGGGGCAATAAAGCCGCCAGACGCAGCGTCGACATGGATGGGGATATCGATGCCCGTCTCCTCCTGATACTTGTCGAGAATCTGAGAGATCTCTTCGACGGGCTCGTAGTGGCCCGTATAAGTGCTGCCGAGAATTACGAAAACGCCAATAGTGTTCTCGTCGACGTTCTCCCTCACCAGGTCGGGGTCGAGACGGTAGTGGCTCTTCTTACTGACGGGTAGGATTCGGGCCTCGACATCGAAGTAGCGAGCGAACTTCTCCAAGGCAACCTGGGCGTTGGAGCCCATCAGGATGTTAGGCTTTGACGTGTCCTTGCCCTGCTCCTTGCGCTTGATCTGCCATCTGCGCTTCATGGCGAGCCCGCCGAGGTGAATGGCCTCTGACGAGCCGGTGGTTGCGGAGCCAATGGCTTTTTCGCCGGGTTGGACACCCCAGAGGTGCGAGATGATGCTGATGCAGCGCTGGTGCATATCCATCATGGCAGGGTACTCGTCTGCGTCGGACAAGTTCTTGGACAGGTTCTCCTGCATGAGCTTGGTGGCATTAGGCTCCATCCAGGTACCGACGAAACTTGCAAGGCGGGTGTAAGTAGATGTCAAATAAAACGAGGATTCCAAGGTGCCTACCTCGCCAGGTTGAGGTTGGGCTTCCCGTCAAGGTCCAGTTCATCCCTGATCATCTGGAAAACGGTGTCTCCCGGGGCACCTTGTTCGGGAATCTTATACTTTGGGATGTTTGTTTGGCTGGTGTAGCGACTGTCATAGGGTTGGATGTGTGCCGAGGTGGCTTGGCTGAGGGCGTTGGCGTGCCCAGCAGGCGTGATGTGAGCTGCCTGGAGCCGTTGGACGATGTCCTCTGGGTTGACCTGTCAAGGCTGTAAGAATCGGGCGTTTGGTGTGTTGAGTGTTGTCAGAATGAGACTCACATGGCTTGAGAGAGGCATGATGAATGAAGGCTTGATTTGCAAAGGCTACCCGAATAATTGGCACTGGAGAGCGGCTTTCGAATTGGACCCGTTTGGCTCGAGAATGGGATAGACAGGAACGAGACGATGAGGGGAAATGATGTCCAAACCAAGGCTGCCAAGACTGGGGAACCACCAGGTGAGGCTTATATACTCTAGGCAGGTAGCTCATGATGAAAACAGTTGACATGTGGTGCGGCAGCTGAGCCAGGATGAGGGATGAATGACGACATACGGGAAGTAAAGCGGAGTGCGGAGGTTTTCCTTTGGTCAAGTCGTTCAGAAATAGCTCCAAACTGTGACCAATGCACTCGCTTCCGCCCCATCAACACAATGGGTGCCACGGGCCGAAGAGGAATCACGATGGAGAATGACGGTTGTAGGCTTCCAGCGCGGCACACTTTCCCGGGTTTCTGCCAAGGCCATGCCCATTGTGGTGAAGCTCTTTTTGGTGGGGAAGACTCCATGCCGACTTTGCCGGTGGAGCTACTCTCTCTCTCTCTCTCTCTGCGCTGACAAGACGGAGCAGCTGAATGATGAGCCCGAGGGCGATGACTGTACATGCCCGCGTTTCGATTACGAGCTATGACCTGTCCGAAGCAGGGCTACAGGAGCTCTGTCCAGGTGCCGATGTTCAGACGACGGCTCGGCCTTGCCGTACATACTACGGGCAGTACGGAGTACCTAGATACAGAGTGGGTAGTGAGTGACGGCATTGGGGAGCCGCGATTCCACGCACTGGAGTCGGGACATGCAACTAAAAGCCGGTGGGCTCTTTCCGTTTCCCCTCCACTGACGGGCGGGTCCCGTTCCCGTCTTGGCGTGCCTACTGTAAGGTACCTACCTACCTACCTACCTGCCTCTAGCGCTACTACGTAAAGTTCTAGTTCCTTACGCCTCATACAATACTACTCCAGCTATAATATAATAGACATAGTTAGTTGCTGTAGACAACAAGACCTATTTTCAGTCCGATCATTGGATGAAAATATGCTCATGGTATCCTAGCTAGCAGTTTTGCATCACGGATGTTGAACATTCTCACATCTCTCACGCCGCGCCCCTGTTCCGCAGCCTGTTCTGCTGGGTGTCCTCTCTGCCTGACGACTCAAGCGGAATTTCCTCCCCTCCAACCAAAGGCTGCGGCTGTGAGTCCGCCTCGTTCCGGTCAATGCCCAGCACGACGGCCTTCCTATCACTGCTTAAATGGTGTTCCGAGACGAAAAGGTTCAGCACCGACGCCAAGCCGGCAAATGCGACGGTTGAGAGCAGCCGCAGGGGGGGCACGGGGTTGGCGGCGAACTTCCACTCGTTGACGAGGAAGATGCCGATGGCTACGAGACCGAAGACGAGGAGGCAGATGACGGTGGCCGAGGACCAGGGGTGGGTTACGTCTCCGAAGTCGAGGGAAAGGAGGACCATGAGAGAACCTCCCATGCACAACGCGCTGCCAGTCCAGTCAATGGCCTTGAGGCCAGCCCACACCAATGTATCGGGTGATGGCAGATCGAGGAAAAAGAAAAGCACGATGAAGACCAATCCGCCAATAGGTACTTTTGTTTTCAAGTCAGTCAGGCGGTTCATAGGGGTTTCGGCTGCGAATGATTCTTTCGCTTACGATTAATCCAAAAAAACACCATCTCCAACTATACCGGGCACGAGACGAGTCAGCAAGGCAAAATTTTCCAAGTTGACAAGAACGACGATAACCCACTCTAGTCGCGTGGTAAAAATACCACCCAGAATCGGGCCTATTGCACTGCCAATGGCCCAAATGATGGATGTGATGGCAAGGTACAGGCCGCGATCGCGAAGCGAGAACATGTCGCAGATGATGGTATTCACCATGACGCCCATGCCGGAGGCGCCAACACCCTGGATGGCGCGGCCGGCAATCAGAGCATCCATGTGTGGAGCGAGGGCGCACAGTAGGCTGCCGGCCAAGAAGATGGTCAGGGCCGGCAGGATGATGGGCTTGCGGCCCCATAGGTCCGCAACGGAGCCCCAGACGGGCGTCACGGCCGTGAAGCCGAGGATGAAGGCGGAGCCCACCCAGATGTACCCCGCGACTGACTGGAGCGAGGCCACGATGTTGGGGACGGCCGTGGTCACGATGGTCGTGTCCAGCGCGGACAAGGTCGCCGACAAGCAAAGGGGTGTCATGGTCAGAGTGATGATGGTTCCCGAGAGTTTGGGGATCCCGGTGTCGGCGTCGCCGCTGCCTGGTGGCGGGTCGGAAAGCCGTCCATGACTGCCGGAGGCCTCATGACTTGGACCCGGACCGGCGGCTTCGGTAGCAGACTGCGGTCTGATCTGGCCTTCGTGTGACTATGGAGGGAAAATTAGTGATCCAAAAGCAAGTGGAATAGGATATTGACGGTCGATTAGTTAATCATCTGACGTTTCTTCTATCCTGCCCTCTCGAGAGACCAAGCAGAGCTCCCAGTGCCATCAGCTCGGTTTTGGCAGTTAGTGATTATGGACATGGTGATTGCTGGGCTTACGTCAGCTGGAAACGGCGTCGACAGGGACGGACGGCAGACACATCACATTGGACGAAATATGCTCGGCGCTACCTACATGCATTTGGTTCGCCAAGGGACCCTCCGCCTCGTCCTGTTGTTTACAAAACCCGAGCGATCAGTGGCAAGCAACTCCCGGATCGGTGACAGGGCCACACGCGGCCGCCTTTGATGTGCCGATTCCCACGTTTCTTTGGCAAGGAGTGGGAGGCAGCACAACCTCAAAGGGGAACAGCCGCGGATTGTATTATTGCCAGGAGCCAGATCAAGCATCGAGCCACCGGGGCGTCGGATATGAACCAACCGAGTTAGCTTCAGGTATTCCCCGGCCTCGAGCCGTGCTAGAGCCGAGAGGTGTGGGCCAAGTTGCCATTGTCCCTCCCTCAGTCACCGTCTCCCCCGACGAACCATTCTTCTCCTCTTGCCTCCTCCACAGCCCCATCGGATATCGCTACCCCGATTTAGGAAGGTCGACAAACGACCGCTGGGCCTGTCGCGTCGCTTCAGTGCTTATGTCGTGATAACACGCTAGAGGAGCTGAATTCTGCTGCTCCCCAAGTCCCGCTCCCCGCCCCGAATGACCCCAAAGACGAACCCACATGAATGGATATGGACAGCGAAGGTTGGGAGTCGTCGCCTTACACATTATGTTGTTGGTGTATATCATTGGAAACACACATGCTTGAGGCGTCTGCGAATCTCGACTCAACTCCAGTTACACACACTCACCGCTGCAAATCTTTTTGGGCCCTAATACTCCGTAGATAGGACACAAAAGCCGTCTCTCTCGCCGCTCCTTGGGTGGTCCGCGGGAAGTGGGATAGCTCTCTATCTCTCTCTTTCTCCTGATCTGGCGGGCCAAGTCTCTCTTGTCGCTTTGTCTCGGTAGCCTGCAGACTGCCGACCGGTACCAGCGTCGTCGCCGCCGCCATATTTTCGGCTGGTTTAATCCAAAAAGCCCTTGGCGCCCGCTGCCCCCCCCCCCCCCCCCCCCCTCCCTCCCCCCAGTCGCCCACCTCCCACCCGGTTGTGGCCTTGGGGCCTTCTTTTGTTCATTTGCTTATCTCGTCGGTCGGCCGCTCTGCAGCTCAGTCGCAATCGGTGCCCCCAAACTCTCACCTTTCAAATCTACCCGGCTGTCCGTAGAGCGAAGGAGAGAGGGTCACCGAGTCCTCACCAGCCGTCATCATGCCGTCCATTTTTCGCAAGCGCGGCGAGCCCGAGGAGATCACGCCCTACCCCGCCCTCGACGACGACCATGCTGAGGCCACGGGCATAGAGCCGCTGAAGGCTTTGGCTCAGTTCGAGAAGGCGCACAAGCTCGACCCCAACATGCCAATTGACGAGCTCAACGATGTCGATGCAGCCCTCGCCACAGGTAACGCCGAGAAGGGCCTCGAGATCGAGCAGGCCCTTATGGAGGATAACTCGCCCTATCCAGAGGTACGTCGCGAAGGATTCGTCCAAGCATGCCCAACGTGCCATGCAGAGAGGAAGGGCAGAAGGCAACACGCAGATGCCGAGTGAGAAAGAAACCCATCCAGATCGCTGACACGATGCGACGCCCGCAACAAAGGTTCGCGCTGTAGTACGCAATTACGACGTCGATCTGCCGGCAAACACGATTCGCGCCTGGGTCATTGGCATGCTGCTCTGCACCGTCGGCTCCGGTGTCAACATGCTTTTCTCACTGCGCAACCCTAGTGTTACCATCACGACCTACGTCGTCCAGCTCATCTCCTACCCCATGGGCTTGGGTTGGGATCTGGTCATGCCGGATAAGGAGCAGAATTTGTTTGGCATCAAGTTCAATCTCAAGCCTGGCCGTTTCAACTACAAGGAGCACGTTATCATCGTTGCCATGTCCAATGTAAGTTCGATCCGGTGGGGTTCAACGAGCTCAGGCCAAGATGTCGAGGCCGCGGCGCCAAGGTACCCCCGTGGTTCAAAGCCGGAACTAACCATTTTTTAGGCCGCGTATGGAGGTGGTGTTTTGTATGCGACGGATGTTCTCCTTGCCCAGCAGCTCTTCTATAAGCAGCATTTTGGTTGGGCTTTCCAGTTGCTTTTCGGCGTCACCACTCTCTGCACCGGATACGGCCTGGCCGGACTGGCACGGCGCTTTCTCGTCTGGCCCTCGGCCATGATTTGGCCCTCGAACCTGGTCAACTGTGCGCTGTTCTATACCCTTCATGATCACTCCGGCTCGGACCCGACCAAGACCAATGGATGGAAGATTGGCCGCTACCGCTGGTTCCTCATCGTCAGCGGCGGTGCCTTCATCTGGTACTGGTTCCCTGGATGGATCTTCCAGGGCCTCTCGTACTTCACCTGGATCTGCTGGATCGCGCCCAAGAACGAGGTTGTCAACAAGGTCTTTGGCGGCCTCTCGGGCTATGGACTCATGCCCATCTCATTCGACTGGACCGTCATCTCTGGCTATCTTACTTCCCCACTCATCCCGCCCTTCCACGCCATCGCCAACGTCATTGCCGGCATCATCATCTTCTTCGTCGTTGTCTCTTCCGGCATTCATTTCTCCGGCACGTGGTATTCTGATTATTTCCCCGTGCAGAGCTCCGACTCGTTCGACAACACCGGCGCTGTCTACAACGTCAGTCGCATCCTCGATGCCAACCTGCAGTTCAACGAAACCGCCTACAACGACTACTCGCCGCTCTACCTGCCGACGCAGTTTGCTCTCGCCTATGCTCTGTCTTTTGCCGCCGTCACCGCCGTTGTCGTTCACGTCGTTCTGTACCATGGCACCGAGATCTGGGGCCAGTTCAAGCTTGCCCGTCACCAAGAGGACGATGTGCACATGCGTTTGATGAAGAAGTACCGCGATGCTGAGGATTGGTGGTACCTCGGTAGGCAATCCCCGCAAAAACGCCCCTTTTTTTTTTTTTTTTTTACTAACATGGGCATGTAGCCCTCTTCGTCGTCATGGTCGGCATCTCGTTTGGTGTTGTTGCCGGCTGGCCAACCGGATTCCCAGCCTGGGCCTACGTCGTCTGCATCCTGATCCCAATCGTCTGGCTCATCCCCATTGGCATCGTCCAGGCCATTACCAACATTCAACTCGGCCTCAACGTTTTGACCGAGTTCATCATTGGCTACATGGTGCCTGGCCGACCCCTTGCCATGATGATGTTCAAGAACTACGGCTACATCTGCATGTCGCAGGCGCTCTATTTCGCCCAGGACCTTAAACTGGGCCACTACATGAAGGTGCCGCCGCGTACAATGTTCGCATCCCAGCTCGTCGCCTCGCTCTGGTCAGCCGTTGTCCAGATTGCCGTCATGAACTGGGCCCTTGGCCACATCCCCGACGTGTGCCAGCCCGACCAGCCCAACAGCTACACCTGCCCCGGCGGGCGAGTTTTTTTCACGGCGTCGATTATTTGGGGTGCCATTGGCCCAGCCCGCATCTTTTCCGGACAGGCCCTGTACGCATCCCTACAGTGGTTCTGGCTCGTCGGCGCCGTCACCCCGGTCATCACCTGGTTCCTCGCCCGCAAGTGGCCCAAGAGCATTTGGCGCTACGTCAACACGCCGCTCCTCTACGGTGGTTCCGGCTGGTTGCCCCCTGCCAGCGTCTACATCTACCTGTGCTGGGCCCTTGTCGGCACCATCTTCAACTTCTTCATCAAGCGTCGCTACACCGGCTGGTGGCTGCAGTACAACTACATTACTTCGGCGGCCCTGGACTGCGGACTCATCGTGGCCACGCTCATCATTTTCTTCACGCTGTACCTCACCTCGGCTAGGCCACCCCAGTGGTGGGGCAACGTTGACGTCTTCCAGACTATGGACTGGGAGGGTACCGCCATCAGGACGCATGTGGCACCCGGTGAGACCATCGGGCCCAACCGTTGGCCATGAAGTTCGCGGGAATTAAAAGGACCAAGGAGCATTTTAATGATGATCAATTTGATAAGGCTATAGGAGTTGGGTGGCTTCTTCAGTATGTATGTACCATGGTTTGACGGCCTATTGGTTGTGGGGGGGAGTCTTTGGCTATCTAGCTCTGACGAGAGGGTTGTCTTTACTGCGGATGATACCTCGACGCGAATCTGACTGCAAATTTAATCGCGAATAACAATCGACGATCCAAGAGGAGCTTTCGTTTGGGTTCCGTCTCCAGAAACTATGCGAGCCTGTGCAAACTCTTGCTAGATGACTGGCGCTTGCCTCAGTGGCTACTCCCCGACACTGCTAGTTCATGTAACGAAGGTGACTTCCTCAGAGAAGTGTCTGCGTCAGGCCCTTGGCGCTGATGCCCATACAAGCTCCTGCTCGTATTGACTTATGTACGTGACTGTATTTATGGGCAGGTCCGCAAAGTACCTTTCACTCAGGGATATAGGATTCTTCGTTGCCCGTCATTGATCTTCGCAACTTCGCAGACCCCAGCCTTGTATTTCTTTTTTACTCACTCGTTCCATCATCCCATATCTATCTGATCCAAAGCCACAAAACTCCCTTATACATCTCCGTGTGCCGTACGATTCTCTTACAGGCGCTTCTCTTGCGTCAATACCCTGCAATTGACGAAAGCCTCACGCCGCCCTCAAGTGCTATCTGAAGGAGGGGGCGGGAGCAATCACGACAAGAAAAATACTGAGAGAGGCAATACGAAAGACGAGAAGATGTTCGACTCATACATGAGTGTGCCGACGCACATTTACAACGACGAGAAAGGCCTAGGCGACATAGACGAACTGGCCGAGGACATACGCCACAGCAGAGAATCCCTGAGGAGGCTAGTATCTCGCCAAGCCTCGCGCGCAACACGGGCATCGCGGGCATCAATCGAGTCGCGAGGGCCCCTCTCGTCCAACGAAGATCTTGACCTACATGTTGATCTCCCCCGGGGAATACTAGCGGACGAATCGGCTGCCTCGTCGCGGCCGCCTGGGCATCCATCTGGCAAGGCTACTCGGAAGAAAAAACGTAGCTCAACGACTCCCCGATCCGAACGCAAGGCGGAACGTGATGCCGAAGTTCAACCCGCGAAGCGGAGGCGAGGCTTCCGTGCAGTACTTCGACGAATCTTCGGCCTGGACGATAATCCCGAGGCTGTTACCGACTCGCTGTACGGAAAACCTGAGATTCACATACCGCAGAAACGCAACCATCGTGACAGGGGAAAGAAACGTGGTCATCGGGACAATGGCCTGCGGACATCCACCAAGAAGAAAGCCGCGCCAGAGCGGAGTACTGATCATGCCGAAGCTGAGTCGTCTTCCTCGAAGGAGCCCGCGCCCCCCCCTCTAGCACTGATTTCCCCCAAAAATGATACTGCTACCTGATGATGTCATGATTGACCTTCATAAGGAAATTCGCAGTGGGGTAGGTGTTCTCGATCCCCATCCCTTCACGGCATGTTTACTGACCGTCCTCAATAGCGATCAATGTGACTGGAGTGGAAGGGGTGAGGGTGAATCGGCCCAGGAATTGAGGCGGCTTGATATTCTTGCGAAGTACTATGGGTCCACGTGGCGTGGCAGGGCAAAGCCGGATTGACTTGTTCGTAACAATCTGCACCGAAGAGCATACTGGAGGAGGCGTGGACGGGCGTAAAAGGTCCTCAGTCCTTGCCGGCAGCCCAGGTCTAAGAAGGGCTGGTTCAGCAACAGCATCGGTTGAATGGCCTCTCTTGATACACGTTACTCGAATCCTAATACAAATCCTCATTCCATTCCTACTCATTGTGGTAAGCCTGCTCAACTTCCGCTACACTCTGCCAAATGATTGATGGGCATCCATGTAGTGCTGAAAACCACGGAAATATGTCGTCAATGAGAAGGTCTCGCATTGCGAGACACGCGCCGCCGACGTTCCCAAAACTGGAATCACACCCATAGAGAGGTTGCGTCTCCGCCTCCATGGCAAAGACTACGGGAGGCCTCAGTCGCCGATTGCAATTTCGATATTCGAAGTGAAAGATGCCGAAGACTCCCTTCCATGACTGATCAAGACACCATCCTAGCCGCGGCGGCTCCAGGCCCAGCGGAGACCGGAAGCTTCTGTATAAAAACTTTGCCCCTTTCGAACCATTGCCGGTCATCTTACTGACTCGTTGGTGGCGCCCCTCATCTATCAAGGGAACGAGGAAGTCTGACCTGAGCCGCCGAACATCATCCCAGGAAAGGGACCCGGGCCAGTCCGTCCCAGCCAGCTGGCCAGGAGGTCTCATCTCTCACCTCTGCAGTCTCCCAGATCCAATGCCCCTAAGGATCTCATTGTTTGGACTGACACAAGAGTCCCGCGAGACAATAGGGATGGGGGGATATCTGAGTCGCGCCAGCTCCCTTGCTCAACAAATACCAGCGATGGCATAATAGCACGTGTCTTACTTTTTACTTTCCAAATCTTTCTGAAGCGGGTACGATCGTATGACAACATAGCAGTCGCAAAACTAAACTGTCAAAGCGGGAAGGGGCAAGAACGAAAAAGAACTAAGAAAGGGGTGGGAAAAGCAACAATGAAAGGAGAGATGCCGGTCTTCGCCTCTTCATCGCTCTCGGCACCCCCTTTGGTCTCCTCTTGGGGGGAGAAAAGTAACACAGGAAAAGACACTGAGACAAGGTTGAGTCAGTTTTTGGGCAAACGAAAAAAAAGTCTTGGACAATCTCGCAATCTTTGACTCTTTTCGGGGGAGGGGAGGGGGGCAAGCATAATTATAAGGTCTGAGAGTGCTGTCCTTTCTTTCTTCGTATAAAGCCGAGGGCGAAGAAGCACAAGAAGAAAAAAAAGTGAGGCAAAAGGTAGGCTCCGAAAGCGAAGCTCCTCCGACTCTGCCTTCACACAAACACACACTCACACACGTATATTTTGTTCGCCCGTGCCACTTCCGGGAAGGGGAAAGAAAGCGTGTCATTGTCGAAAAAGAGAAGTCTGCGAAGGAAAAACAACAAGAAACTCTGATCACTCAGACCATGTCATTCAGAAGAAGACCCGGCAACAACACAAGACACTTTGACGCGGTTTCTAGTCACGGGCCAGCTTATCTACCGCCGCGACCGCGCTGAAAAAAGGGGGGAGCCCATCTTGCTGCCCTCGCCCTCCCCCCGCCTGGGGAGTACTAACAAGAGAGCGAAACAAGACCTACATCGCCATCGCCAGACCACCCGCTGTACCAACGATCGGAACCGAAAACCATAAAAACCAACCCGCCGGAAGAGTCGCCAGACGGCCAACCCGCCGCACAACCGTCCGCCGTCTGCCCCTGACCCGGAGATCGGGGCACAATGGGCCGAAGCGGCTACGACACGACGGGTCTGGGGGGCTTCGTGCGGCGCAACCCGCGCCCCGCCGGCGGCAGTAAGGCCGGGGAAGGGGGCCAGAAGGGCGGGACGAACGCCGTGGCCGGACAGGAGCGGACGGCGCAGACGCAGCAGTCTCACACGGCGGCGGCGGCGGGATCGGCCTCCGCTTCGGCCAAGAACCGGGGTGGAGGTGCGGCACCGCCGAAGAAGTGAACGGCGGGGAGCCCCGGGCCTGTCTGGAACTGGCCTGTACGTGCATTCTCGAACCGGTAAGGCATGTTTAGTTGCCTGTGAGGGCCGGAGGGGAAAGCCCGAACACGAGTGCGCGGCAGCCGGACTGACCGTCCGCAGCGGTAGACGGTACCGGTCGAATGGGCTCCCTCCACGTGAGGAGAGCGCCCGAGATGTGGTGCCTTGGTGTGAGTTTTTTCTCTCTCTCTTTTTCTTCCTTTCTGGGAGAGAAGTTAGCGACCATTGTGGGCTGACGATGTGCTGGATAGGTCACTACGAGCGAAGCAACATTTTGCCCGTCGTAAAGAAGAAAGGGACCGGGGAGTTTGGTTCGAGCCTTTAGCTCAGCGACGGGTGCCGGTATCCCTTTGGTCAGCCCGCCTGTTCGGGTACACGATACAACCGATGTGTCGGACAACCGGGGCTAAAGACCTCGCGGCGCCAGTGAGCTCCTTCTGGATACATACAAGGGATTTGAGGTCGCGGTTGGGCGGGTATTTACCCCGCGAAGAGGAGCACCAGCATATACACACCCCGCCGAATCGTCATAGGAACGGTGGGCAAGCGGAAATGAAGTCAGAGAAGATGCCAACGGCGCAAGCCATGTTGAGGCACGTGAGTCCTGATCATAATAATTAAATAGAACAAAAAGTTTGTACAAAGTCTCTTTAAATACAAAATCACTACGTGTCCACCTCGAGGGTAGGGAGGCTCGGTCGGAAAACGGGGGTATCGCACTTGGTGAGAGGAAAAAACGCAAAATAAAACATCATAGCATCATCCAGCCTCGGGCCGTCCTCAGCTGTACTGGGGCGGGTGTTGCGGGGGCGCGGTGTTGGAAGGCGGCTGCGGCAGGTAGTACTCCGCGGCGGCACCGGCCTGCCCCGTCGCCGTCGCCGGAGCAGCGGTCGAGTCGGACACCGCCGAGGGGGCGTATGGCGGCACGGGCGTCTGTGAGCGGTTGGGCGCGTAGCCCATGGGCTCGTACTTGCTTTCCGGGGGGTTGTTGTTGGTGTTGCCTGCTGCGGCGCTGGCGTACCAGGAGTCCCTGTTGCTGCCGTTTTCGGCCCTGCCCTCTTCAATCTTGGCGTAGACGCCCCCGCGGGCCCCGGACTCGCTCTTGCCGGACTTGCCCCTCCTGTGAGCGGCGAATTTCTTGTAGAGGAAGACGAGTACCCAGAGACCCGTTGAAACGAGGAGGGCATGGCCGAGGACGTGGTCGAAACGGAATTTCTGGCCTTGCTTTTTGCGTTTGAGCTCTGGGTGGCATGTTAGTCGGTTGTGCTGGATACCCACCTTGGCAGAACCATCGCGGCAGATACTAGAGGCTAACAAGCAAGGGAGACTCACCCTGGACCAAGTAGTATACGAAAGCAATGAGGAACAGAATGAACCAGACAATCAGGACGATGATGAGAACCCGGGCCCAGACGGGGAGCGTGCCGAGGCCGCCTCCACCACCGCCGGTGACGACGTGACCGCCTTTGGACTTGTTTTTGCTTGTTTTGGATTTGGATTTGGATTTTGAGGATTTGCCGCTACTGCTGCCACCCCGGCCGCCGCCACCGCCTTTGGGGACGCGGGATTCGAGGATGAAGTCCATCAATTGTTATGTGCGGGTGTGTGAGGGCTGAAGAAGGTGATGGGTAGTTGGGTGATCAATGGGGTTCTTGAATTGGAACTGCGATGGGTTTGAATCGTTGTTACTCCAGAGCACCGGATGAGAGATGTATGAGATGGGGGATCGAGCGAGTCTCCAAGGTCGAGGAGGAGGAAGGCAGGCTGCCAAGTGCTTAAGTATCATCAAAAGAACGATGGCCGGTAGGTAAGATGGCGTTCTGCTAGGGTAGTCCCATGCAGGTCTGGGGAGAGACACCCAGAGAGCCCAGTTCGTCGACTTTGACCCGTTGGTTTCTTTTCGTCGGCAGCCAGAGAAAGGCATTAGGGACGGGAGCGAAACTGCACACTGACTTCACTTGCGCAAATCAGCCCTCCGAAAAGGGGGGAAATCGCCCCGGATGCAGCTTGACGACACAAGGCACCACGCCGAGAACGCTGAGGGGACGGGCTCACCAGTCCCTGTTTCGGTAGGATGAGGTAGACAAGTACTTACCTAGAGGGCACAGAATGGGCGGAAGGATTCTGCGGGCTGACTGACGATGGGGTCAAAGAAATGGTGGAGGACCCGGTAGGGTTGTCTTGGCATCCCTCAGCCATCTTCGGTTGCGCCGCAGCAGAGGGGATAGCAATCCTATTCCTAGTCCGAGATATTATGAGATAACGAAGAGGAGGGGGGGGGGACCGTTGGAGAGATGGGCGACATTGGTTCCGGGGGAAGAATGTCGTGTTGCATGCCAGCTCACCGCCAGCCATATCTCCGTTTTCTCAAACTTGGCGTTGTTGACGTTGTGAGGAAGGAAAAGTCGAAGAACATGATGGAAAGATGCGGCGTTAATCCTTCTCTAAGGATTGAAGTTGGGTGATGTTGCGGCTGGCTGGGCAGTGCTTGTTAGTGCATGTTGGAGAGGAGGGATGGCCCCTTCTGAGAGGAACTACGGATGCCTAGGCGATGGCCCAATGGAGCTTCTTTGGAGGGAACCGGAGGGCTGTGGGAGGGGGTCAATGCCTAGGTTCCTATCTAGGCAGCTACTAACAGAGCTTATCTCACAGGGGCCTAGTCCCAGCAGACAGGTTCCCACTATGCAGGCCTGCTGCCTCCCAGAAGCTTGTTTTCCCTCTGTGGATTGATTGTTTAATCAGTATCTTTGTTATTTGACAACTACCTAGGTATTTCCACTTCCAGGCAGCCATAATTTCCATCCTTGTCACCGGAGCCCTCGACAGAACGGTGTCCATCGCGATTCAGACTTTGCAACTTCTTCGGCCTTCAGGATGTGGCCGGTTGTTTGCTCGCCCCACGAATGCTGACTGGCGACGATCCAGGGACTTTGCCATCCACTCATAGTATCGGAAGGGGGCGGCGAGGCGAGGTGATCGTTGCGATCGGCCCTGTTGCTGTCAGCCCTCTTGTGCTCGATGCCGTCATCCCCTTCAAGACGTGTTCCGTCGAGCTTCCCTTTCGACAGATGTAGCTTGGCAGACATCGAGCTCGCCATCGACTGCAACCCCTCTTGAAATCGGGGACAGGAAACAGGCACTGCGATAAGGACCTTGCATTACATTACGTCGTTGATCACCGGTGCGCAGCCATCCCCGTGCAGCCCGGTTCAACGTCGCGCTCAATATTGAGATGGAACCATGTTACGGCGGTACCCTGGGGGGGCGGGTTGGTGGCCTTGAAGTCAATTTCGACCTCACATGCTCCACCGGCCAGTGATGCTGCGCGGTTGGAACTGTGGCAATGCTGCTTCTTGGCGACGCATTCACCTCCAGCGTTGGTCTTAGACGCCGGTAAGCGTCGGCGTTTCCGATGAAATTGTTCCACATCCACTAATTTTCCGTCTGGTTCTTACCACGTGTGGCGTGCCAACACGATTGAAATTTGCTAACTAGGCTTGGTCGTGGTGCTGGATAGTCCAGAGATGACGGAAACGGTTTCTATCAAACGCAGCATGCCCTCGTCTATCCGTGAGGTCGTCTCAATTGAGGCTCAACGGGTCGATTCGGGATCCTTGTTAAACAAAAGTCACAATGTTGGCAGCGAACAAACGTAATCCAAGAAGACATGGATGGCCTGCAGACAAATGCAACCACACTTCTCGCAGGACCATGCTTGACCTGTTGGCTTTCAGAAATACATCGCCCTCGGCTCGTTTGTTCCAAACCGTTGTCATAAAGACACTATCATAGAGGCAGCCGATTCTCATTGGCACATTCAGGCTTGTGACTGAAGCAAACATAGAGTTATGTACGATATTATCCTGGGGTCTGGTACTTGTTCGAGATTATCGCGATGCACCGGGAGTACGGGCCTGTCGTGGAGGGTCAAAGTGCTTCATACCGTAGCTGTGTACCGAGCCCAATCGACCTCGGAAGAGTACATACTGCGCTCCGCACGCAGTAGATTGCTGATCTCTTCTGGAAAATACATTGCCGGCTGTCAGCTGGATCAGTCATCAAGTTCTTGTGGGCTCCGCGTGGATCTGCTGGGCAGACCGATCTAGCATATGATATGAACCCTTAAGCTGGCCAAAACATTGCTCGAAACGTTCTCGGACTGTCTCGGGACGATGCCCACGCAGACGGAGCTGTGTGTCCCATGTTCACGAGACTGCTTCAATCATGGGGTGGGGCGGTATCGTGGACGGCAGCGGTAATGGTGATCAATGGCATGGGGATCTTGGAGTACCAAGATTTTCGAGACGTCGGTCTGTAAAATAGCGCTGGATTGCTTCATCTCCATCTTGTACAAGGCTTATTCTGGAAACCGGGTTTTGCTCTGTTGTCTAAGGCTCGCATGGCCAATGGCGTTTAAGAATCCAAAACCATCCACCTCGCCTTTGACAATCTTGATAACGCGGCTAATGGACTGCGGGCGTGCCATTTGTGATTGGCCCCGTTGGTAGTGGCAGACCCAAGTTGGGCTGTACCGGCTTTGTTGATTGTCTACCTACTATACGCAGTAGAGTTTTGGCGTCGGTTGGGTAGGACAAAGGTCTTGGCTGGCTGCTTACCTTCTCCGGCGTATGGACCTCGAAGCGGTCCGAAATTGATGACGGTACATCTCCCCCCGCCAATCTGATGTAAGGGTGGTGAGACGACACAGCAGCAGCGAGTCAATCAGATGACACCAAATCAGAATCCGTCATCAGCCAAACCAGAAACAAATGCAAAGTTCAGATAAGTTCTAGTAGGCTACCTATTCAAAAGAAAATAGTAATCAAAGCACGACTTGGCTTATTCAAGGCTCGTCGTCTAATGTAATTAGGATTAGGGGTTTAGCTAGCAGTTACAGTCACGTAGTAACCTTATTAAATGTGGCGGAATTACACGTGAATTAGCCGGCCAATGCATGGCTGCCCTACAGCAAATTGTTAGGGAATAGGCGGTGAATTAGCCCCACTTTTAGGGGTAACTTTACTAATAATATTACTAGGATTAGCTAGGGATTTCCTAGCTAAGAAATAGGGTTTTTATTTTATTTTTATAGGATTTTACTAAAGTTATATAATATATAGTATAATTAATTAACTATTATAATCCTTATAATTTAATAATTAATAGTCTAATATATATATTTATAATAACTAATATACTTATTTATTAATAAATATTATTATAATAATTAATAAGAATAATAATAATAAGGTAACTATTTTATAATTATATAGTAATTAGTTTAAATAGCTTAATACTATTTAAGTAAAAGTAAAGTGTAATAATTTCTAAGAGTATATTAACCTAGAGGTTATAATAGTAAACTAATTAATTCTTAAGATATATTTAAAAAAAAGTAATAAAACTACTAGTAATATAATATTTATATACTTAAACTAAGAAGAAGCTTATAGCTTACTAAGAGGCTATTATAGTTAAAATAATTACTAAAATACCTTAGTAAGTAACTATATAGTTATATATAATAAGAAGTAAGGCTATTATAACTATACTTAATAGGCTTATAAATAAATCTAAGTATATAATAATATTAAATAATCTTAACTTATATAAACTTTTATACTTAAATAACTAAATAAGCTATTATTATAAGAAAGTATATAAGTATATATTAAATTATAAAGATTATAATAGTTAATTAATAATACTATATAATATATATAATAAGTAAGTTAATTAAATAAGTAAAGTAATTAGCTTACTATAATTATAGTCTTTTCTTCTTTTTACTATACGTCTAACTACTAAAAATAATATATTTACTAAATAATAAAGCCTAATTACTTTTAGCTATTAAAGCTATCTAAGAAACTTATAAAACTAGTATTTAGGCTGTATTATATATCTATTTAGTACTTTTTTTTATATTATATAACTATTCTAATAAAAAGCCTTTATAATATAACACTATAGCTAACTTATAGAATTTAATAAAACTTAAAAAGAGGAAGCTAGTTAAGTTTATTTTTAACTTAAATTCCTAATTATTTTCTTTTTAGTTTAGTAGTATTAAGGAAATAGCTAATTAACTACTTACTAACTATAATATATTACTAGTTTGTAAGCACTAAGCCTTAGACTTTATTAAATAAATACTATAAGGTTTAAATATATTTACTTTAAAAGTATAACTATAAAAAAGCCTAATATAAAGATCTTAATATAATAAATATATAGTTCTTTTCTATAGTAAATATAATTATAAAATATAGTATTTTAAAGTTAAATACTTATAACTTTAATAAGACTAGCTTTATAATAAGCTAGATTATATTAAAAATAGTTATTATAAGCTTTAAAAAATATTTAAATATAAAAATAGTATAGCTTAGTAATTAAGAATAAGTTATAGTTATTTAGGCTATTAGTTTACTTAGTTATAACGTCTTACTATATATTATTATTATAAGTAAAAATCTTTTTTTTACTTATTATATAGAATTTAGTTTTTTACTTAACTAAGTTATTATAATATTGAAAAGTAAATAAATAATAAATAAAAAAGACCTAAATTAGCTTTAGTAC